AATTTTAAATTATTTTATGTTTTTTAAAACTAAGCTTATAAATTCTTATTCTTTTGTTTTACCATATAATTTTTTAAAATGTTTTAAAAGATTAAGTCAAATTTTAAAAACTAAAACAAAAAGAAGTAAGAAACGTAGGACCAATTTTTAAAGACAAAATATTTATCCAATAAACTTTTGAACGAGTTGAATTATACTCAGATTGATAAAATAATAATAATAAAAGAGAATATGTTAATTAATACATATATTATTGCTTAAATTTTTACATGGAAATTGGAACGAAATGAAAAAAAAAACTAACTAACTAACTCATATATTATTAAATTAATTTTCCCATAGAATATATATATATTATAGACAAGGAATAATACACATTAGCCACCATCACCCCATCATAGGGTTTAGGTTGAAACAAATTCAATGTCTTCAAACCAACATTAATAGAATTTCTAGAGAATAAAATATGTGTTTTTTAGTCAAAATTAGTATATTGTCTCAAAATTTAATGTCTAGCAATAGAGTTCTCAGATCCTAAAAAGATTATCACGTGCAGTTACTGCAAAGTTGTTTAGCGTTTGATCATGACCAAAATTTAGTAACGAAAAATTCAAATACTTAAATATTGAATAATAGATCATCTAATTATTACTCCAAATAACTAAAATTTGGCCATCGAGCTTCGTTGGAAACATTTCAGAACATGCAACTCTCATTTATGTTTGTACCGTTAAACAATTATTTATAAAAGAAAAAATCATCTTGTGAATCAAGCTAAGGGAGTAACTTAATAAATTTTTCAAGTTTTTTTTTTTAACCCAATAGCTTTTTGGCTTTTTGCCCATATAACCACACAAGCACTATCTGTATCCATCAAGACTCAAACCCTAAAAAGACCGTCAATGATTTTTGGTATTAAACTCACCCAAAGATTCAAACAAACCCGTAATTTCATGATAGGTGATACTACAAAACTCCATGTTGTATCGATGGACTGCTCGTTTAGAACCTCGAGTTTAGCTATTGGTATCAGCAGCCAAGTTTTGAGGGGGAGGAATAAGAGATTTATGAGAAGGATTCAAGAAATGAGAAGGCAAATAGGGTGGGAATGAAAGATGAATTAGTATCCACTAGAGGATTTGGGAGGAGAATATGAATAAATCCAAAACCTCTTTTTTCTTAGCCTTTCTCTCTCATTCACTACATATTGCCCATATTCCCAACATTCATTGTAATCAACTTCTCATACTTAATTCCCCTCACCACTACTTTATCCAAAATAATAAATAATAAATAAATCTTCCCTTTTTTTCCACGTAGTAAATATAATTCATGTGTCATCATTCGAGAATAAGAACAAAGAGATAAAATCTAGAAAAGCACAAGGAAATAAAAATTCGATTACTGGAATCTTTTTTTTTTTTTTTCTATTAGGGTATTTTTGTAACTTTTGCAATAAGGTTTTTCTTTAAAGCTTTAACTAAATTTTTAAGAGAGATTGAATATTACTCCGGTGAGATAAGCTTAATTTCGATCATTATTAATATTAATAAATGTGAGTTTGTGATTACTTTTGAAATTAAAAATGTGTTTTTAGTAAATGAAAACTAACACAAAAGCATACTCTCGATCTTAAAAGCTATGTCTATGTATGTATATATTAAAATAGCATGATCTTGGAAAAATATTTCTGGACAATTTTGTCCATTTCTTAATTTATTAATTTACCAATTATGTCATTAACAATTTATTATAAATATTAAATTAATTATTAATTATTAATATTAATAATAATAAAATGTATATGATGTAAACAAGGTTAGGATACAAAAAGTTAGAATACAACAAGTTTTCTATATCATAAAATTAAATTTTTTTTAATTACAATTCATATTAGAATTTCAAAAGTTTTGTAATGCATTGTATCTCCTACAACCATAAAAACATATTTTCTTTCCCTAATTTTTCACAACACCTGGTTCTCTCAAAACAATGCTCTAAAAAATTATTCAATCTAAAAAACATCTCATAATCATATTGGTGGCATATTCATCAAGTTGCAGAAAATACATATGCGTCGAATCTAAATCTTGGATCCAAAGTGTTAAGGACAACAGTATTTCGACTTTGCTTTTGGTTCCACCCAAAATGTCTCATACCAATAGAGAATAATTGTCCTCTCTTGTGATTGATCACTTCATTTAGTCAATGTGGGACTTTGTTTGCAATTACCTTACAAACCAACCCAACACAAGGCTTGCGATGTTATGGTTCCATAATTTATGAGGTTAAATAATAGTAATTGTCCAACATGAGCATATTTTATAAGTGTATAGCTAAAATTTGATTTTTTTTTTGTTGCTATTTTTTATTATTATTTTATAATTAGTATATTCATCTATTTAGAATTTTTTTAAAATAATAATAATATATTGATAAAAAAGAAAAATCAGTCATCAAAAAGTTTTTAATTAATTGTAAATAGTTAATTAATAAATTAATTATCAACAATAATTTGTATGAAATCTAAAAAGCTGGAATATATAACTTTTTGTCTTTTCATTTTCCAATAATATAATTTAAAGATTTTTTTAATAATATTTAGTATCAATTAAAATGTTTAACATACAAATGTTAGCTTGAAATTTCTTTAAAATTCTTAATAAACAAACAAAATATTTTTTAAAAAATACTGGGCCCAAGTTAGATAAAATAACATTTTTAAAATAAAAAGAATAAAGTATTTATATATCTTTAATCAATATATTAAAAATATGAAATGTAACTTAAAATTCATAAAAAAAAAAAAGTAGTACGAAATAATGCAACTTTTTTTTAGCCAAAAAAAAACTATTATTATGGGTTACATTGGAAAGAAAATTAAACCTGCAGGACTCAAATAATCATGTTGGGAATCCCTCAATCCACACGAAATAATGCAACTTAAATACACTCATAAAGATTAAATTAGTAAATTAGTAAAATAATTTATCTCAAGTTATAAAGTTGAATATATAACAAAATGTTTGTTCGAAAAATCTTTAGAATTTTTAATAAATAAACAAATATTTATAAAAAAAATTGTAGACTTAGAATAGGTAAAATGATATTTTTAAAATAAAAAATATTAAAATACGTACCCATTTTTTTTATTAATATATCAAACCTAACGAAATGTAAAAATAAAAGTAATAAGTGGTATGAGATTAACTCGATATTTGATCAAATATTTTCATTTTAAACGTATTTTATTAATAATAATAATTCTTTTATTTTTATTTTTAATTTTTTATAAATACACTAATTATGAATAATAAAATAAATTTATCAATAGAAACAACTTATGAACTTTTTATAAATTTAAAGCCCATATTAATTTTATTGTTATAATATAAAGTAAAGTTAAAATAGATTGACGTGCACGTACTGATAAACTACACTACAAAAAGTTATAATATTTGAAATATATTTTTGAACTATTTTATCTCTGGTAAATTTTAATTTACAAAACATGTCACATATATATAGTTAATTACTATTAATGATTTATAATTTAATTTTGAGTCCTAAAATGTGATTTAGAAAAGTCAGAATTCGAAATTTACTCACATTCAATAGTTATTACCTTTAACTATATTATAATTAATAATGTCAAAAAGTCTTAAAACACTCCGACGATCAAGTTAATTAGTAATTGGAAAAGAAATAGGAATAAGACACCAGAGGTATTAGTGACAGATTTTTCAATTATCTGGTGAAGATGAAGGTCCCTCTTTTATAGCCTCTAGGGCCGACCAGGAAGGACAACGATTAGAGTTGGCAAGGACGTCGCGCGCTGTACGTTTGGTCAAAGGGGAGTGCGCTTCTAGCAGGTGCAGGGTGGCATCGCCACCTGTGGCTCTGGGCATGTCGTCCGCAGCTGCAGAATATGCTCGTCGTACCGACAACATGCGTTCCCAACTACAACTACGTACGATGTGTAAGCGCATGCGGTCCCTTGTTCCCTCTAGGGTGGACATGTGTCCTGCTCGGCAATGCCTGCCTTAGAAAGGTGATGGTCAGTAGTCCCTAGCTCATAGAGGAGCGGATGCGTGTCTTGTTCGGGTTTCACCCATAGCAAAATATTTTATAGTTAACCATATTTAATTATAGAATTTTACATAGGTTGAAATTTTAAGAAGCTTTATAACTCTATCACTCTCTTATTATAGAAAGAATTATTCCATCATTTCTTCTGCTAACAATACTAGCTAGCTCTATTTTATTTTATCTACTTTTGTTGGCTCATTTCCTTCCTTTATCAAAATTTCTTAATCTCTAAAGCAACTCAATATGGTATATCGAGAGAGTATGGGATATGAGAATCCATATATAAATTATAGACTTGAGATATTATAATTCGATTTTAAAATTTGGTGCTTGTCTTGCCAAGTAAGAAGTATACATATATATCTTGCTTTAAAAAAAATACATATATATATATATATATATCTTAATTTTCTTTTTTGATTATTATTATTATTATTTTACTATTAGTGGTATTATTTTTTCTAATTTATTTATGTTATTATAAAATTAAGTTAAATTGAAAATACTCGGTGTATTTACCTGTGGTATCAAATGTGTATTTATTTATTTATTTATGAAAAGAACTTAAATATTAAAAATATCTCAATGATTGTTTATTATTCCTCTAACCAAATGTCTAATTTGCCACCACAAGGCAAAATGAGTAGTGTGTACATATACAACTTTGCTAAAGAAATTAAAGAAAAATTTAAAGTGACTTCAAAAAAAATCAGAATCACATACACATAATAAATTTCTCTCTCCTCATATATACTAAAATATATGAGAGAGAGAGAGGTACAGTTCTTAACAAAATAATTCAGATCATACCAAAGAGAAAAAGATTGAACAGCAAAAAATCAATGAACAAGATTCCCTCAAGAGCTGTATAAATATCAGTTCCCCCTCCCACCTTTTCTCTAGTAAGAAAACACAAAGTTTTCTCTCTCTCTCTCTCTCTCTCTCTCTTTTCCTGAAAAATAGTTCCATTTTCCTTCATATTTTCCCGGGAAAATAATGGGAAAGCTCAGCTTGAGCTGCTGCAATGGCTTCCTTGAAAATTCAAAACCTTACTTCGCCATGATATCCTTACAATTTGGATATGCTGGCATGAACATCATCTCCAAAGTCTCTCTAAGTCGAGGCATGAGCCATTACGTTCTCGTCGTATATCGTCATGCCTTCGCTACCGCTTCCATTGCCCCTTTCGTTCTCTTCTTCGAACGGTAAATTTCTCGTCAACTCGTAAAGGAAAAAGGGACTTTTTTTGTTTCTTTTCATATAAGACTTATTTGTTTATTATGTTTATAAATAATCTTAACATTTAGCCGAACGAATTATCAAACAGGTCCTTAATTATTTATTTATTTATTTTATTTTTATATGCGAATGAAAACTCACCTTAAATGAAATAACTTTAATTTTTACCTTTTTCACTTTTTATTTACAGGAGGGGACAGCCAAAGATAACACTCAAAGTCTTCACTCAAATATTTGTGTTGGCTTTGCTTGGGTGAGTAATAAGTTTTTTGAAAGATCCAGTTTGATAATGACTTTTAGAATATTATACAAATATAAAACCAAACAAATCAAATTTTCTAAAAGTAAAAAAATAAAAATGATTATCAAACGTACGCTAGAAACTGCAACATTATTTACAAATCGTTCCTTTTTTACACTTTTTGCAGCCCGGTTATCGATCAAAATTTCTACTATGCCGGGTTGAAATATACTTCACCGACTTTCTCTTGCGCCATGAGCAACATGCTGCCCGCAATGACATTTGTGATGGCTGTGATCTTCAGGTACAGTTCTTAAAAAATAAATAAATAAAAAAATCACACTTGTTTTTATTCTCTAAATCAAAAGCTAAAAAGTTCTGTTTCGTGTTTGTTTGGTGGGAAAATGAAAAGGATGGAAAATTTGGACATGAAGAAATTGAGATGCCAAGCAAAAATTTTGGGAACTTTAGTGACAGTGGCAGGAGCAATGTTGATGACTTTGTACAAAGGGCCACTTGTTCAAATGGCTTGGTCTAAGCATTCTTCTAATTCTTCCACAAATTCTGATGAAAATAGTGCCAATAAAGATTGGTTTAAAGGCTCCATTTTCCTCATCATTGCCACTCTTGCTTGGGCTTCTCTCTTTGTCTTGCAGGTATTTTCATTTCATTTCTCTCCTATATTGTTTAATTGCGGGAACCCGAAAAAACCCGGGTCTTATTTTGGTGGAACGGTTCTTTGGAGGATGTGTTTGGGAAAGTTGTGTTATAAATTATTCATTTGAGCTTTTTGGACTCCTGTATATCAATATTCATGGGGCTCTGATACCATAGTAGCTCATATTTATTATAAACATCTGTAAGGTCATTTTTCTTTTCAACGTGGGATCTTTAACACGGATTGCTCTACTAGTGATTATTTCATACAGCTGGCCTACTACTCTTATACCATGTTAAATCACACTAATCAACTCAAAAACTTTAAGCGAATAGTTTACGATAAATTTAGTCTTTTATTGATATTTGACAAACTTTTTTATAACAAATCGAAAGTTTTGATTGTGCAACGTGGAAATCGGGTTCTTCAACATTATTTTTGAAACCGCGCTAGTTTTTTGGATCGGTTTTGTAAGGATTGTGTGTGTGTGTTTTGCTTTGGGGCGCAGAATCAGGCATTGAAGACATACAAGAACCATCAGTTCACTCTCACCACACTGGTGTGTTTTCTTGGCACTCTTCAAGCCATTGCTGTGACATTAGTAGCTGAGCACAAAGCTTCTGTTTGGAGAATTGGTTGGGACATGAATCTCCTCGCCGCGGCATATGCTGTAATCTCTCACTCTCTCGTTACAATAACGACGACTCATCTAATCTTTATCTCTATAATAATATGATATTGTCGTTCTAGTGATCTTACTTAGAAATATCGATATGCGCACATTTTACAATGGAGGTTAACTAGGTTTTTTTCGTCGAAAGATATTATCGTTTACGTAAATTATGATTTTACTTTCACTTTTGTTCTGATCTAACGTGAGACTTTCATCACAGTTACGACATATTTCACTAATTAGAGCGGATTTTTTATTTTTTATTTTTTGTAGGGAATTGTGACATCAAGTATTTCATACTATGTACAAGGGCTGGTGATGAAGAAGAGGGGACCTGTCTTTGCAACTGCATTTAGCCCTTTGATGATGATCATTGTGGCTATCATGGGCTCTTTTATTCTTGCTGAAAAGATCTTCCTTGGAGGGTAAATAAATAATCTTTTAATTGTTATCTTTTCATTTTAATATCTCGTATTTTTTGCTAATATATATATCTTACAATATTACATTACAAATAAGGAGAGAATGAAAATTCGAATATATAACTATTATATATTAAGGAAGGTGATGGAGCATGCTGTGTAAAAATGAATCTTTGGAATAAAAATCTCTACTAGGAATATATTATTTTATATAAGAAGAAAAAAGAAAAGTACCAAAAAAAGTACTTTTTTGCACATCAATTAAATTGTGAGCATATAAGACATTACCATAAAAATTCTCCATTAAATTTTGATTATAAATTTGGTTTTGATGTGACAGAATAATAGGATCCATCTTGATAGTATTTGGGCTATATTCAGTCCTTTGGGGGAAACACAGAGAGAATTTGGAGATCAAAAGTGCTTCTGCTGCTGCCGATGATGAAATACCAGAAGCAATAAAAGCTAATTCTAATCCTAATTTACAACCAAATAACAATAATAATGGAAATATGGGACCAAACAAGCCCTCTAATTCACTTTTTATTACCATTTCTGACCCTGAAAACCCCATCAAACCCAACCAAGTCCCAAGAGAATGATTGAGGGGGAAATTAGGGGTGTTGGAGATGGGCATTTTTGTCTTTTCGCATATTATCCCTCCCTCTCCTTCTCTATATTTATGGTGTTTGAGTACTTTGGGTTTAGTGATCATATGTGTACTAATGGCAATATATATATGTATATTTAGTTAATATAAGTTGTGATCTCTCAAGGGTTTTGTTGTAATTTTATCGGGCTGAAATTCGATCATGAAACGATTTTGTTTTTAGCTTTTCTTTGTTTCTTGAGAAATAGAGTGTTTATAAATATTCATATTTATTTGCGTAAGCTTTCAAAAGATGGAAAAAAAAACAAGACTCAATGTTTATGATGACCTCAAGCTAATTTTTAGAAAATTGGCCAAGATTATTTTAAAAGTCATTACTGCTAGAAATGTTAAACGTCATTTTTACTCTTTTCTTGAAGGTCAGCGATTTAATACATCATCCCCACATTTGTTATACTAAAAAAATCATTACAATTAAGCGAAGAAATATCCATAAATAAGTTTATACCTTTAAATATATATATTAAAGGCAAACTACACTTTTCCAATATTGCACGTCCCCCTATAAATGGCAAGACAAATTAAATTTGCAACATAAGCAATAAACAAATCACAGCCTAAATAAATTACAATTATAAGATTAATTTTTCAAAAAAAAATATTCAACTTTATGCTATAATACTCTAGCTTACCTTAAGGTCCATGGAGGGGTAAAAGAGTGAAACCCAAATGAAACCTAAAGATCAATTAAAAGCATAATTTGTTAAAATAATAATATTATCAATTAATAAACTGGCTTTAATACATTAATATTCTATTATTGTAATTAATTATATAAGATACCCTTTTTTTAGTCCCTTTGTATCAATATGGTGGAATTTGCTGACATCTTTTGATTCAAATTCCAAGGGAATCAAATTTGTTATGCTGTTCAAATCCTAGTGGGTTGACCTTTTTGTACATAAATAAATAAAATAAATAAATAAATATATGTGGTTATTTGGTAGATACTCCTCTTCTTGAGTGCACAAATTGCATCTCAAGTTTGCATTTTTTTTTTTTTTTGCATCTGATTCCTCCAAAAAACACCACCAATTTTCTTTGTTTATGAATTAATTGCATTCTCTATTTTAACATTTTTATAGTAGTAATTTACCTAGCTCTCTCTTTGTTCAATTAAAAAGAATATTTTCGAGAATAAATGTTCGTAAAGATTAAAGAACGTTATCTTTATGTTTATCAAGCGAAGATATATATCGATCATATAATATTTCAATAGGATACACTTTAGTTCCTCAAATTTAATATCTTTATTTGATTGCTAAAGTTCCTCAGTTTTTAAATATTTTTTATTTTAGCTTCTAAATTTTACAAAATTAAAAAATTATTTTAATGATTATCATTAATTTATTATTAATTATTTATACATAACATAGTGTCGTAGGTGAGGTGTCCACTCTTGTTCCAAAAACTAGTTCAAAAACTTTTTAAAATATCTACAAAAATATATATATCCTCAAAATATAAATACTTATAAGATGAGAATTATTAACTTAGTGTAAGAAGTATACAAATGTATATATTAATTCAAATAAGCTTTATTAAATTTCTTAATTTTCTTGATTATTAAAGAAAGATATCCAATGCTTAATTTTTTCCCTTCTTTTTTCCTTTTTTTTGCATAAACAAATATATAAGCAAAATAGCAGCTTCATCGTGGAAGAATCTGAATCTTTACTTTAATGTATCAACTTATCATATATATTATTCCTTATGAAGTTGTAAAACGTTGTCGTTTTCAAAGCATCATATATCAAACACAAATACAAGTTTGAGATATAAAATAGATCCACATGTTCCTTTAATTGATTATTTAATTATCATATATATATGTGTATTTTCCATTTGATATCTTTCTAGTATTTTATTGACCTCATAAAAATCTTTAATTATTGATATTTGAATATGTAATTAAGTTCGATTTTCTTCATTTTCAATAAACATTTTCAAAACCCTAACTAAATTCCAAATACTCTTGAAAAAGTAGTTTTCAAAACTTTATTTTTGCTTTTTAAATTTGATATGGATTTTAAAAGTATTTTAAAAAGTTAAAAGATAAAAGCAAAATAAAGTGATATGCAAGAGACAACCAATTATTTACTTATAAACTAAGCTTTAAAGTTAAATTTATAGGTAAATATCTATACCTTCATTTCATTATTTAGGTTTAAATATCATTTCATTTTAGTTTCTATACTTTCAAAAAACTTCTATTTTGATTTTTTACTTTTTAAGAAGTAACCATTTTGGTCTATATTTGTAAAATTTTATCTCAAATATTATACACCAACAAAAATTTTAATATAAATTTATGGTTACATTTCATGGAATTTAGTGGGTGAACTATCATGTTAAAATTGTAATCGAAAAAGTAAGATAAAAATGAAAATCAATGGACTTAAAATGGTCACTATTTAAAAGTACAATAGACTAAAACACACGCTTCGAAAATAAAGGACTAAAAAATCATGAACTACGACAAACCAAAATTACTGGACCAAAATAATAATTTAACTCAATGCAATAAAATGTCTTGATCAATATTATAGTCCTCTGAATAAACAACTATTCTTTTTGATTTTTTGATTTATTATTATTTTTGAAAAAACGAGTAGGAAGTACATATAATCTAATATATATATATATATAATTCATTAGTATTTGGAAAAGAAGGAAAAGGGAGAGAATATATTCCATACTTTTTCAAACCAAACCCAAAGCTTTTTTTTTTCTTCTTCTAATTCTCACCTTAAAAGTAAAAGGTATGCTCCATTGAACATGGAATTGTGTAGGCATATGGCCAAATAACTCATGGAAACACGTTTTACAAGGATATTTTAAAAAAAAAAAGTTATTGATTTTTTTAATTTTTTATTATGAATGTTATATTTTTTGGAGAGTGCTATTTAAAGTCAGGCTTATATTTTATAATATGATTGATCGGGTTTTATCTTTATGAATAATAATTTAAGCACAAACTTTCCATCACAATTTTATTAAACCGTTCTTAAAATCATCGAAATCGTGATTGTGAATTTGTGATTACTAATGAAGAAAACGAAAAATATACCAACGACTCAAATTTTACATTATTTTGAAGTAAGATAAATGTAGTGATAGAATATTGAATCTCTACCCTTCTCAACTAAAGGTATGCTTAGCTTGGCGAATTTTGTCACTCCTTTATTAATATATATCTTTAACTTTGTGGATGGTTATAATTTCAAATTTATTTTGTATTTTATCAGATATTTGTGTGGAATAATCCTTAAGGGTACAATTGGAATTAGGTGAAGTTGCATTGAAGGAATATTGAAAAATTTTAGCTTCTCACTTTATGAAAATTAAAAATTCAACAAAAGCTAGTGGGAGGAAAAGACAATATAACTAGAAAATATGTGGAAATAAAAAGTATTAAAGATATGGGAAAAATTCAAACTCAAATATTGTAAACTCTAACAAGATCATTTTCTAAAGTCTTGGCTAAATTAATTGAAGTTTAGAATCATTTCTAAGAGGAAATTAGAAAATAAAATAAATTTTTGAATTTTTTTTTCTTTTCTTATATTTATTTAATTTACTTTTACTAATGACCTATTTTTAGCTATTTTTAGAATAGTCGAGATCATTATTCTTCGTTAGACTTATAAATAGTATATTGATCATATATATATATACATATATTTGTGAGTTAAAAGATCAATAATTGACAATATTAAATAATAGAAAGATAGTTTAAATTTACAGTCATTGGATATTTATTACAGAGAGAAATATATATACACACGTAAATATATTAAATGGTTGGAAAAGTTTGACAGTGAATTATTATTCACCAAAAAGGATATACTTTATTTTAAGATCAAAATCAATTTCTTTTTAATGAAAGATTGAAATAAATTAAAATCTTACGTTGAACTAAAAACAAACAAACAAATATATTACTCCACTGTTTAATATTTTTACCTTTGCAAAATATATATATATTTTGTGTGTTATTCTATTATCCATGGCAGGAGACCTTGGCTATAAAAGTTAGGGCTTTCAGCAATGGAATATTTTCGTTCTTGAAAACTATTTTCGTCGCTGAAAATTATTGACAACAAAAGTGTTTTTATCGCAAAAAACATCTCGTCGAAAGTCTGTCGCCAAAGACAAAATGCTGCTTTAGTAGCATAATTTGCAACGAAAATATAATTTCGACGAAAAATAGATTACATCACCATTGCGATGCGACGTATTTTATTTTGATTTGGTATTCTTTCCTATTCACGTTGATTGATCTCTTTGACAACATGAGCATAGTTCAACGGTTAAGACAAGACGTCTTACTTCTTCTTAAGGTCGAAGGTTCGATTTCCTTGCCCACATTTGTTGTACTCATAAAAGAAATTATTTATCCCTTCCTTTGTTAGCTTTTATTTTATGGATTTCTTTCTTCTTCTTCTTTTTACTTTTTCCTTTTGAATTAATATATGATTTTCGTTTTTTTTCCCTCTCAATTTTTACAAGTTGTCTTTTTTACTCTAGATTACAATCCTCAATTTTAAGAATTTGGTTATTATATCTATATGTCAATGTCGAAATTCATCGTTTTGAAACACACGGAGACCAATCTACAAAATTTATTGATAATCAGCTAATATTTGCACTTTTAATTTTTTTTTATAAGAAAATTATCTCATAGTATCATGTGACAGATGGATTTTTTTAGATATAATTTTTTGAATTATAAAAAGAAAAAAGGTGTGAAAATGAAAGAAGCAATTAAAAAGCACATTGGATTGTATAAAATAGTTGGAAAACATATGATTTGATTACTCAACATTGCCACCATATATACCACACTACTAACATTTTTTCCTTAGTATTAAAAGCCTAAAAATCATATCTATTATTGCATCCAATTATACTTCAAAATAATTTTTAATGATTTGGTATTATTTTATATATTTTCTTTATTAAATTACTACTAATCCTAGATCACAATAAATTTGATATTTTCAATATACTACTATATTTAACAATCTCCATGCATGTAGACTGAAATATTAACATATTATTAAACATGTGGTCTATTATATGAAATGAAAATAAATCGATTCGAGCATAGGTCGGTGGAGACGAGACACTTGTTATTATCCAAAATATCAATAGTTCGACTTCACTCTCGCAATTGTTGAGTTAAAACATTGAAACTAAGATAACGCTTCAAGGACATTAGACTCTAATATCGTGTTAAATTACTTCTAGACCTAAAAATTTAAGCTAACGGTCAACTTGAATCTAGTTCGTTGTAGTTATGACACTTGCCTATACATTTGCCTATAACTCTCCCTTGGATGGTAGGTTAGAATCTTCTCCTCTTTACTTTTAATACAGTATTTTTTTAAGGAAAAAAAAAAGTTTAAGCTAATGGTTTAAAAGTAAAAAATTTTCAAAATATTTTTAACATTTTCTTCTCAACAAAGGTAAGAATTATGGTTGTTTTTGCTTGCATTTTATAAAATAACCTCAACCAAATAATATGGAAACGGTCAATGGATTAATCAATTAAATTTTTACCAACATCAACATGAACATAACTCTACTGATTAAAATATATATCTTCGAGCATAACTCTACTGATTAAAGTATATATCTCCGATCGAGCTCAAATGTCAGGTGGTGTAAAAAAAAACTGATTGAATTTTTTTGTTGGATAGCTAATTTTATGTGTTGGACAGCAATAACTCCCTAAAATTACACAGATAAAACAACCCAATAATGGGTCGATATCATGGCCATGACCAAGCACACTAAAATCTCTCTCTCACACATCTTCTTTTTCCCGATTATCACAATAATTGAATACCAATTATTTGAAAAATGAGGTCAATTTGCAAAACCACCAACCATTATTTGTTTTATCCTTAATTTTTAATTAAGGACTCTAATCAATTTGTATTTTTTATTATAAACTTCATCTTCAAAGGACATTTCGCCACAGCATTTCATCAAAATAATGGCACGCACCATTACATTTGAAGGTGATTTTTTCCTTTTTTTTTATTAATTTTTTTGTCCTTCGACAACTTTTTGTTAATAAGTTACTAATTAATTAATAATTCTAACCAAATACTCCACTTATGCAAAATTATGGTGCACTTTTCTTTTTCTTTTTTTTTTCTCTTTTTCACTTTTTTTTCTTTTTTGGGCAGGCTAATGACGTCACCCAAGTGATTGTATTTCCTTTCTTGAATAATAGTTGCACAAGAATATGAATAATAAATATCTAGCAACTATATGATAGCCAAATCACCACCATTAAGTTGTAAGTGGGTTAAAAGAATATATAAAAGTTTTATCCCTATATCCAATTTTAAATTCCTTCCTAATCTCCGTCAAAAAAAAAAAAACAAACAAAACAAAACAAAATAAAAAAAAATCATTTTTAACCTTTTAAAATTGTACATTTTTCAATTGATTTTTCTCAAGCAAATCTTTTACCATCCATAAATATCAAAAACAAAAGAAAAAAAATACCTAATGAGAAGTTGACCCAGTGTAAGAGTGCAGAAGATATCATCAAAATTGCATTATATTTGGAAGTGCAAGCCAAAACTGAAAGAATTTACCAATCAATTGTGTTTCTTTAATTACAAAGTTAAAAAATAGTCAACCAGCTCATGTTTTATTGATTTCAGTTCATTCATTTCAATTTTGATCAAATATATATAGTGGTTGGCCAAGGTCACTAAAAAATCAATAGATTCAATCTTCCCTTCCTCTTTCTTCTTCTTTCTTCCTCCCTCTTCTCACGCCATTTTGCAATTGTCGATTTTTTAAGCTTAGGGACCAAATAGAATCTTAAACCAAATCTCAACGACAAAACATGTAGTTTACCCAAAAAAAGGAATATATATATTTAGCCAAGAGGCTCTACCATTAAGGACTAATTACACAATTGTTTGGAGAGCAACAATGTAAGATATATCTCATGGTTAGCCTAATAATTGTTGATATCAGTCACACCCAAGAGAATCAGACTGTAGTATGATCAATACTATCTAGAGACTAGAACTAAGCAAGCAATAAAAATAAGAAATGCAACAAAAAAAACAGCAGGAAATGATTCTGATGAGCAGCAAAAGAATCAATATACAATGAGAATTAGAATGTATACCAGCCTGCTTCTGCTTCAGCCTTCAGCCTCAACCTCCCTTGGAAGCTGAATCATCTTTTGGAAGAGCAACATAGTTCACAGGTATTATTATGTTGGGAACTCTAACACTTTCTCTCCGATCTTTGCTGCCGGAGAACGCGTACCGGCCTGGAGTGCCCACCCGGCGACCGGGGGTCGCCACCAATGTGTTATTCTGACCCAATGGTTTTTTAGCTAGCGGCTTTGATCCATACAGTGCCTCTTGTTCCGAAGCAAGTTGTTCTTGCAACCGTTTCTGCTCCTGTTTTTACCAAAATGCTTGTTAGAACACCAAAGGGCTAACTTCAGTTTTTTGTCAAACAATGATATTAGGCATACTACAAATTAGGCATGTCAATCAACTAGCTTTGGTTCAACCAAATAAGCTTTGAATTAAAAGGTCTTTGTCAGGTATAAAATTTGTATTATGATTTCGTACACAAGTATTAAAATGATAATTTTTTTAAAAACATGGACGATCAAAATGAGCAAAATTTGAAAATATATAAATCAAAATAGAATTTAAACGTTAAAATTAACCTGGTTCTGTTCAACAGAACCTAATGATTGTGCATAAATAAATATATTCTATTTGGATTTGTTCAATTGGGCTCTCCTCAGATTGGGTTGTGAACCTCTAATTAACACTCAACTCGGAATTCCTAATACAATGGACTAGCAATTTGGACCTTATAAACGGTGGGTTGTTTATAATCGACAAAAAAATATGCTGAGGATAAAGGAAACAGATTGCAAAAGTTTGTGAAGCATCGAGGTTGTTAGATTACAAGAGAGGAATAATAGTCGAGATCTGTACCCGTGATTTTCGCTTCTCCTCTTCTCTCTCGTGTCGCAACTTTGCATCTTCCTCCAAGGTACGTAAAAGAGGAACCTGAAAGTTATAAAATCAATGTCACTACCGAAGCTACCACAATGCAAGCCCAAACCTGATTTAATGTTCCTTACCTTCTCATATGTGAAAGTAATTCCCCTTTCTGCTTCCCATGCTTTAACTTTGGTAACCAAATTTTCAACCATGGCTAATCAACAAAGTCAGCTTAATTAGTTACAAAAGGGACTAAATATGCATGGAGGATGTCTATTGCTATGATGTAGTTTAAGTAGTACTTCGTTGTCCTTGAATATTAGCTTGAGAAATTAGGTTTTCAAGTATGCGACAACTTGAAGAATCATATATAGTATACATAGGAGAATATGGAAAACTTTCATTCATATTTGGTAAAAGCAACATTCTAAAAAATATAGCATATATGGGCAATATGACATGATTCAGAAATTTAAAGAACAGGCCAAACTAAGAGCATCACGAAAATCTCACAAGGTAATTTGGTGAGGAGCGTTCTTGCTTTCTCGGCTCGTTTCAAATTCTTGTGAGCTCCTCTTCCGGCGCTGTAACGATTGTCATCCTACACAAAAGAACAGGTTAACACAGAAGCTTGAAATTATGGTCCACAAATATCTTCTGAATGCAATGAAGTCATAATTTCGATCAGTCATGTGATTTTGAAAAATCGCAACGAAGAAGCAGTAGTTTCCAAACAACTAAAATGTTTGTGGCACGTTGAAGTGTTGGGATTATGTAACAGAATCTATATTCTAGTTCTTTACAATAAAATGAACCGATAAGTTAGAAAAGTAAACGCTGCGTGTATACAAGTAGGAATATTCTCGGATCATATCACCCTTACGTAAAAAAGAAGTCTCTTAAAATAAGTTCAAAATAAGTTAGAAAATCTAAAGTGTGACTATTATTAACCTAATAGAAGCTACTTAAACTACACAATAAAGTCAAGGATAATACCAACTGCACGTGCATCACCATGAGTCTGAAGTCATATACATAAATGTGTAGCTACATATGTGTTGAAATGAAAAGTAGTAAATGCCTATGAGTCTGGAACTCAGATCACAATGGGATCTGAAAATGTACCGTCACCATAAATCGATTCTTTCATTATCAACCAGTGAAAACTAAAAGATATTCTACAGAGGAAATCGTGGAAGCACCCAAGCAAGTAGAACTCATTGTATTCCTATTCTACAAAGTTAATCAGCTTTTGAATTTTATATGTATTTACGACAGCAATGAGACATTGCAGTTTCAAAAGAAGTACAATTCTAAATCGATGACTGTGATGCTGATTTTTCCCAGATGCGGATGCAATTACAAGTTTAAGCACCATGTTGCAATCTATTATAAATCTATTCTTTCCAGACATAGTCATATATGGAGCCTTGTACCTGGTTTTCAATCTAGGCTTATAGAAGAGTGTAGCAGAACATAACGATTAGAGAGAGAAAAAAAAATCAATGAACTATCACCAATTTTAACCAAAACCTGTCCCCCAACCATTATATCCTGTTGTGGCCAGGAGGAAAACTCCTAGTCTCTAATCCAAATGCTGCTAACAAGATCTCAGTACTCACCAGAAACTGAATTAACCTCATTAAACCAGCAACCTCAAACGAGTAAAAAGAAATACTTCACAGTCGGCACGGATTGTTAAATCTGTTTTTATTATTCACCAAGTGTTATGACTAGAACAAATCTAAACGGTGTTGATTGATATTGAATATACATTTATGATTAACAATTGAAGTAAGATGTAACATGCTATTCATATATGGTAAATAATCACAGCCAAATGCATTATGTACCCTTTCATAGTCATCGAGCCACTTCTCCTCCTGCAATGCAAATTGCCATTTCTCTACTTTGTCCAAGATATCCTTTCTACTTAGAGCCTGCTCTTTAGCTTCAACAACCTGATCATCCATGCTAGAAAGTAGATCAGAAAGATTGATATTGCCTGCAAAAGTCAAGTTGACACAAAAATAACATTTAGAAGTTAAAAGGCATATTAAGAAAGTAGTTCCAATTTAACATAGATATTTAAGATATGAAGAAAGTCTTAAACCTGAATCTATGAGACTGGTAAGAGTCGTTCGAGCAGCATTGCTGTCTATATCCATGTGAACGCCTCTATATATTTCTTCAAGTTCTGTTTGCCTTTTAAAAATTAGCTCCCTCATCTTGCTGGTTTTCAAAATATTTAATCTCTCAACTTCAACTTCAACCTAGCATTCATTCAATTAAGAAAGTCGTAAATAATGTGTACCACCCAGATTCTTCTGAGGAGCCCTGGATAGAGAAAGTCAAATGATAGTCAAGAGAAAAGGCACAACCTGTTCAATGACATCTATAGCAAGACATCCTTTCCCAGACACCTCATCAATCGAAGATGACATCAAACAAGTAACATGGTCGAATTTTTTTCGATCATCAGAAGGCGCGTCCATGAGATTCCATAGCTCCGTCAACTTCTTCCCAAGAACTTGAAGCTACAGTACATGGGGTGGGGGGTGAAATAGGATGATAAATATACATGAATTGTATTATGTAATAAGAAGTGAGATCATCTGTGAACCTAGTATCATATAAAGCAGAGAAGGGAACATAACGTAAATAGATCAAGGTAAGTGCTTGACTATCTAGTATCTACCTTTAGCAGCCTCTCTTGCTTATCTTGTTTTAGAGAATGAATAACACCGGCTAGTCTTGCGAGAGTGTCATTACTGATGCTCCTCGTGGGACCACTTTTAGGATCACCCAGGCTTGGATGGACTTCATTAACAGTCCTCAAAAAATCAACTGACATTACCACCGATAGCTCATGGATGAGACTAATGTTGCTGTTCACCTTTTGCAGACGTAAATGCTGCAAAAATGGAGAGAAATAATTCAGGCGATATGTCCTATAATTCTATGGACTGCAAAAATATAGCATAAAAAATAAAAACACACACGTTCTCCACAAGACAGCAACCTTTTCACTTTGTAATTCTTGCAGATGTAGTTTAAGTTCACCCAGCTTCTTGGCCGTTAAATCACGCTCATCAATTTGCGGATCAACGTAACTTTTAGACTGATTGCTTCCTGCTATTTCTGAACATATGGATACAACCTGTGCTTGAACTTCTGAAAATTCCTTTAGTCTTTCACACTTCTTTGATCTCAATTCTTCACGAATGAGTTTTATGGCAACGACTTGCTCCTTGAGGGTGCCCCTTCCCTTCTCCAACAGAAACGATAAGTAAATAAATAATCCAACTCAAAAGGTTAAAATGGAAGTTGTAATAGAAACCACTTTGTATATGAAACAGAAATTTGAGGAAGATAAAACCCATTATGCCACAGAAACCTACTCGAGAAAAGGAGGAGAAGCCTTCACCGAGAGCAGATGCGATGCCAGCAATTTCAGTTTCTGCTTCTGCTAGCTGTTGGTGCAAATCGGCCTTGTACTTTCTCGTTTTCTCAACTTTTCTACGGTAAATATCGAGGCATTCTTGCTCAAGTTGTAGAAGCATTTTATCTCTTTCACTATCACTCTCCCCAATTTCATCCCATATAATCTATATGTCAACAAAGAATCGAGAGTTAACAAATCGAAAAATGATGCAAGAAGACAAGACTGTCAGTACAAGCTGTGAAATTACTAACGAACAAACAAGAAAGGGGAAGTAAAATTGAGTCCACATTTACACTACGACTAAACAAAATTGAGTCCACATTTACACTACGACTAAACAAAACTAACTCAATCGGTACCAAACGCGATAGGGAAGCAACGCAATGAACTAGTTCGAACCCTACTCAACACCCAGTGGGTGGAATTAGTATACAACAAAACTTAAATCAATAACATAGAGCGTCCAACAGGCTTCAATAATCAGATCGTTTCGTGAACAAGGAAATTAAAATGAAAGAGAAGAAAGATAAGAACCTGCAATTCGCGGAGGAGAGAGCCGCAAGTGGTGCGAGAAGGGGAGAGCGTGGGAGGCACCTTCGCCATTTCCGACATCAAAATACAGTAGTAAGCAGAGTTGCAGAGCAAATCGGGAAAACGAAAAAACAAATTCGGGAACCTATCGCGAAGCGAGTCCGATCAAAAAACGAAACGGATGAGCGTTACGAACAGATGAAATTCCCAATTCTCTGAAATGCGATTCCAGTGGGTCACTGGATTCACTTCTTCAATCCCTCGAAATGGCGAAGAACCCTAATAAGAATCAGAAAATTTCCGTTTCGAAAAATGGCAACTGCGGATTTTGGGTTCGGTTTTGGCGCCAAGCGCTCCCTTTGATTTTCTCTTTCAAATTAATAGATAATAAATAATTGTATAAAAAAATTATTATTCCTTTTTTTACTATTATGATTCATTTTATTCCCTCTTTTCGTTGTTAACAATACATACATTATTTTCTTCCAAAAAAATATATATATAAATATATACATACATTACTCATAAAATAAAATAAAAAATTTCGATACAAATACATATAGAGGCAAGAATCTAAACTTACGACGGATAGGAACATAGCTCAAATAGTTTATGGTATTATCAATTAAAAAGATCATAGGTTTCGATCTCCATTTCCACATGTTAATTAATTAAAAATAATCAAAATATACGGTAGGCCATTGATGTTTACCTGATCGAGGATATAAAGATGTTTTAATAGCATGGTTCAATTGTTCAATACATCACTTGTATCTCTAAAAATCAGAATTTTAAATTATACGTACTCTTATTATCGTGTCATACTAAAAAAACCACTAATTTATGTTATATCGACTATCGTTTCATTTATAAGAAATTTTTAATTTCTTAAAAAAAAGATAAATAAATAATTGGATGCCTTTATTTTTAAAAAATAGAAAGATATAACGAACATAACTCAGCGGTAATTGTCATATAATAGAGAGACATAAGTGTTTTTATAAAAGTAACTTCAACTGCTATTATTTTTTTAAGATTAAATTATAAATTTAAATGAAACTTCGTTTACTTTTTTTATATAAATTTAAATTAATTGTATCGTCAATTTCAATACAACTCGTATATGAACAGAAAAAAAAAATTAGTACGTTAAAAAATAATAAATGTCTCCTAGAAAATAATTATTGTATTATGTTTTTTTCAAAATTATACCCAAAATTTGTAACATTGTATTCTTAAAAAATAAAATAAAAAATGACTATCGTCGCATATGATTCTTTTAAAACTGATTTAATTAATTTTTTAAACAACAGTCTCTTAAATACGAATTTATAAATTTTCGTTGTACTAACAAAAAAAATTATAAATTTTCGTAAAATTATCGTGTTCCTTGTTTTATGTTACGCAATAATGTCGCATCAGTTACGTTACAGTCAAAAATCAATACGAAAATTAAATGGGCGAAAATTACGGTAATGTCAATTTTAGACGACAAAATTTCAAACACGTATTCTAGAAATAAGAAATAATAGTGATTAACAAAAATCAAACAATGACCAACTTTTTTTTTTTCAGATAATAAATTTTCATTTGTGCGATTATGTGTGTGTGTGTTTTTTTTCTCTTTCAATGTATAACATATGTAATTGTCTCTTTCTAATTTAACTTATTATATGGGTTGAAAGTTTGAATCATTCCTTTCATATTTGTAGTACTGTGTTTTACTGGTAATATTAGTTGAAATTGTTGTATCGAAATACTGTTTGCTGGCGATAGTGTGGCAGTGTGTCTCACCTGCTGTTGATGCAGAAAATTTGGCTTTTCGAGATCTCGTCAAATGTGCACCAATCCTCTAAATACAAAAAGGGGTCGGTGGATCAATGTGACGGGTAAAACAGATTGAAACTAGGACCGGTGTGACTTTTACCACACGGGCTCCATGCTTAAGTTAGTATCAAAAGTCGAGTGCAGAGAATAGGATGTTCCGACGTACCTTTTGAGTTTTGTTCATCCTTTTTTATAGTAGTTCCATCTAAATCTTAACATACCTCCACAATCCAAATTTTCAGACCCGTTACTTTATTGTGGGCCTTCGGTTGGATCGAGAATAAAGGCGACATAATGCGAGTGTAACTGCAAAACTGTTGGATGGACCGTTACAGTTGGCGTCAAGGCCTGGTCGGTGCCGAGCAATGGTCAGCCGAGAGCCGGCTCGGGCCGCCGGGTGCCGGCCCCCTTTCCTGGATCGTACTTTCTTCTCGGGCTCCCTTCTGCCTCCCGTCGCTTGGTCTCTTCTCCTTTTATCCTCCTATAACAGTAGCTCTCACTCTCAAAGTAGAAAGCTAGAAGCATGTTAAGGCTTCTATATTGAGAGTACTTGGTCGTTCCATAGATAACAATTTTTTGGGAATACCCCTTCGTGGTCGCTTCGTTTGTCGAGAAAAATTTTCAAATTGTTTATTTCTTGTTGAATCTTTAAATTAAGTTTCTTGGGCACTACTATCCGGCTTAATTTACCGTTAGTTTCTTCGTTGGCCTTGGGCTATAACTTGAGTTGGACTAATTTGCTCGCCTTCAACACTCGTGAGTTTTTAACCTATCTTGACTTTTTGCCAATGATTTTGTACCCTTGAGTTTTGTTGCTTGGCTTGGCTCGTTCGTCCTTGCTTTTTGTTTTAACCTTTCTGTGCTCATTTGCTTGCTATTTCAGCATCTCTGGAATTTCTCGTTATGGTTTGATCTTTCTGGTTTACTGAACGCTAGCTCGTCGGCCTGCTTATGGTTTGGCCTGGTTCGAGTTTCTTAACTAGCTTTTACCGTCGACTGTATTTCCTAAGCCCCCACTTGAGAAACTCATACAAAGATAATTGCTCAATTAAAATAGATAATCAATTCCTAAAATTCTTGTGACTTTATTGAATCAGAAAAGATAATAGAAAACATGCTTGAAAACATAAATTATCAAGATTGGAAAGGAGTATGCAATTATAAGAAAATCCCAACCTACGATACTTAAACATGCGGTTGCTAGCAAGTAAAATCTGAACCTACCCAATAGTTAGAAAATTAAATTTAGAAGTTAAATATTGTCCTGGGATGCAAGTTTTATCAACATTTTCACGTTGACTTAGCTTCCCTGGCATTGGCCTTTCTCTTTCTGTTAGGTTCTCCTAATATCATTTTTATCTCCCTGACAGGGGACTTGTTGTCCTGGTCGCTATTCGAGGTTGCTTCGATATATTCTTTGAGATAACCTCTCTGGATGAGGTTCTCTACCTCTTCTTTTAGATCGATGCAATCTCGTGTAGTGTGACCATGGTCTCGATGAAAGAGGCAGTATCTTTCTTTACTCCTCTTGTTGGAATGTGCTTTCATCTTTTCAGGCCATTTGAGTAGTCTATGGTTCTTTATCTTCATCAAAACCTATTCAAGTGGACATATAGTCGGGGTGTATTTCTTAAATTCCCTTTGGGAATCTTGTTGAACTGATTGCTCTCGTTTGCTGTCCCATCTCGACCAGTGTTGCTTTTCTTTGAATCTCTCATTCTTCTCTGTATGCTTATCCTCATAATCTTATTTTGAGTGGATTAATTCCACAACACTTATATACTTCTATGTGCGACTTAGTGCCTTTGAGAAATTATTTTGAGTCTTTTTCCCAAAGAAGAATAAGAGTCGCTCGTCTTTCATGCCGAACATGAAGGCCAGGAGTGATACCGCATCTGTAAGGCCTTCAACTTGCAGCTTTTCCTCGTTGAACCGAGCCACATAGTCCTTAAGGCTCTTTGCTGATTTTTGTTTTATAGAGAGGAGGTATGCCATAGGTTTGCTCCTATTTCGTCATCCGATGAACTGGGTAACAAACACTCTTGCCAATTTGAAGCCCGAGATCGATTTTCTTTTCAACTGTCGAAACCATATATGAGCCGAGCTGAACAAAGTGAGTGAGAACACTTTGCATCTAATAGCCTCCGTTATGCCATAGATGTCCATCCATTATCGATATGCATCAAGGTGGTCGACAGGGTCTGTCGATCCATCGTACTGTTTGATGGATGGTAGCTTGAATTTTGGAGGAACTTTCTCCCTCATAATCTCCTCTGTAAATGAAGAGTTCGCCTGGTCAATCATCTCTTCAAGTTTGAATTATTTGTCTTCCGTTTTTTGGGTAACCTCCCTGACTGCTAGGCTCGGCCATATGGTCTTCCTTTGTTGGCGCCAAGATGTTCTCGGCCTGATGGTTTTCTTTTGTCAGGAGTAGTACGTCCAAGGTCGGCTTGGTTATTTGGGTAGTTTTTTCTTCTGCTATGCTCCACAGATTTATGTTGTCGCGTAGTTGCTTGTTGACCCAGCTGACAAAAAACATTGGCTCTAGGCCTGTCGTTTCCTCCTATCTTCAGCTTGCTCTGAGCGTTATTGGTCGACTCTTCAACTTCTTCGACTTTTGGATTTTTGCCTTTTCGGAGATCTAGGACAGATAGGGGTGGTCTTACTTCTTGTTGCTCGAGTCGTTGAAGAAGCAGGGACATGTTTTGATGCATTCTCTCGATCTTTTCTTCTAGGGCGGCCATCTTGCGTTGATCTGGAATCTGTCGGCTCATCTCTCCTTGATCCTGCTCGGGAATTTGTCGATTTGTCTCGTCGTCAATTCTTTCGGTCGAAGGCACACCCTGTTTCGCTTTCCTTCTCGGGTGGCACTCCTCATCACATTGTCGTGGATTCGTCCTAGAACTCATGTTGATGATTTGTTTCTACTTTAGATTCTGTCTCACACCCTGTTTTTCCTCTAGAATTCCTCGGATCCTAGCAGTGCTCGACTAATCTGATCGTCTTGACTTGATCTTAGTCATCCCCACAGACGACGCCAATTGTTGATGCAGAAAATTTGGCTTCTCGAGATATTGTCAAATGTGCACCAATCCTTTAAATACAAAAAGGGGTCAGTGGATCAACGTGACCTGTAAAACAGATTGAAACTAGGACCGATGTGACTTTGCCACACGGGCTCCGATGCTTAAGTTAGTATTAGAAGTCGAGTGCAGAGAATATGATGTTTCGATGTACCTTTTGAGTTTTGTTCATTCCCTTTTCTAGTAGTCCCATCTGAATCTTAACATACCTCCACAATCCAAATCTTCAGACCCATTACTTTATTGTGGACTTTCGGTTGGATCGAGAATAAAGGCGACATAATGCAGGCGTAACTGTGAAATGGTCGGATGGACCGTTACATTTGGGGCCAAGCAGTGGTCGGTCGGGAGCCGGCCCCCTTTCCTTGCTCATGCTTTCTTCTTAGGCTCCCTTCCGCCCCGGTCGCTTGGTCTCTTCTTCTTTTATCCTCTATAACACCTGTAAAAATCCACAATGTCGAACGCAATACCGATGTGGTGCTTATTCACTGAATTGCTAGGAACATGTGAAGTGTATGGCTAACCCAATAACGAAAGTTTCGTAAGGGAACTAAGGGTCAAATTGTTTTGAGAAAAAGAAAGATACGAAAGATGTCAAAACTTCTTTTCCCGGAGAAGAAGCAATGACAGTATCTGGACCATAAGAATAAGCTAACTCTGTTCCCGCAACTGCGCTAATACAGAGGATGCTTAATGTCTAAATTATAACTCAGTTTGGAAGAGCTAAGATGAGAGCATATGCTATAGGAGAGCATTTTGGAAAAGCGTGCTCCTACAAATATGGGTCATACCATTGAATAGATTTTAACGGTCGACTGTACGAATATTATGACAGGTGAAATAACATTTACGATAACCGAACTCATACATCTGCCGAATAATCTTTGCTCGAAATGAGATAATGTACGAGCATGGGTTGCTCATCTTGGGGGCATGCATGGTTTTCCTACTTCGACCTGTCGGAAATGGAATTGAGCCCTCCACCCTCGTGGCATTCGAAAATTCTCCCACGTGTTTTATGGTATTCTGCCCATGCATAAATATATATTTTTTTAAATTACAGTAGGACTTGTAATAATAAATAATTTCACGAACAACCAACTTTTTTCTCGAAATATATTTTTTTAAGTACAATAGTAGAAGTAAATTATGTCTAATTAACTTGTCATGTGATGTTTAAAAATAAAAAAATAAAAACTTGTCATGCTCATGTCGGTACAATGATCAATTAGTTTTGATAGTTTCTCTTATTTATTAAAATATAACACAATAAACTTTAAGTACACGAATTCAAATATTTGAACTATACACAAAATTATTAATATTTCAACTGTTGAGTTAAACGGAGTATATTTCTTAATTCACTGTAGGATCATATGCATATTGAAAAAAAATATATAAAATAGTTGTAAATAGATGTTTCATGTTAATCTTTAATAATAGTTTGCATTTTAACTCTCTAAATTAATAACATGTGGAAATTTTGATTTACCTAAGGTTTGCATGACTTTTAATTTATGGTGTGTAAGTTTTGTTATTTAATATTTAATATAACGTAGGAGCTTCATAAGTTTGAATTTACTTGACGTGACTAGTTTAGATATATTAAATTGGAGTGGTTATATATCTATATCTCTTAATTGATTTATAATTATGTATTCAATACATTCATATATGTGATATAATACTTAAATATCGTTTATAATATATTGGATGTGTTTTTTTAGTTGTAAACATTATTTTCAAAATTTAAATTCAATCCACTGCGTTTTAATATTTTCATTTATATTATTTTGGTTGATAGACATTTTAAACATGTTCATACTAACCATATAAAGTTACGGAGACTTGACTGAAATAAGGTCAACTAAGTCAAGCTATTTTATTTAGTAGAAACTAATGTGTGGATGGTGGATTAAACCTTTGACCTTTAACAAATGAGTAAGATATCTTAACCGTTGAGGTAAGCTTGTATTGACAATCAAGTTATATTAAATAAATAAATAAATAAATAAGTGGGTTGGTCAGTATACGATTTCAAATACACAAAAGCACATTATATATTATTGATTAAATGTTTTTCAAAATTGAGGGATACTCAGAGTTTCCTCTAAGTGGAGCGTAGATCGGCCTCAAAATTAAAAATAGCACAGTAAAAATATATAAACGATTAAATATTAAAATAACACGAACTAACAAAAATAGTACACACGTGTATAACTCGTTAATTGACATCTGGGAAGGAAAAAGAAAAAGATATCATTTGTAGCTGAACTCGTTGAAAACTGTTTGCATCATCCAATTAAACGGCGGTGGATAAAGTGGAGTTTTCCCTCCAATTCATCTCGGCCCTACGAGGTCAAATCCCAACGAATCCTACAGTTTTCCATCTACGTGGCGAGATCTAAGAAATACTTAAGTTACATCTGCCCGCAGGGGATTAAAACCTCTTAAAGTCGGCGTGGCTAAAAAATCGCCATAATTGAGACGGCGCGTCGGCGCCATAAAATGTCAAAAGAAAGCTCAAAGTTTCTCACGGTTTCTTTCTTCCAATTGCCATCGCTCGGTTCGCTTCCTCCGATGAGAAAATGAGCTCATGCGGCGGCCCTACTCCTCTCAACGTCATCGGAGTTCTTCTGCGATCGGAGTCTTCCCGGGCCTGTAATTCCGACGAGAATTCCCGGATTCTGAGGGATTTCGTTACTCGCGAAGTCAATGCTCTCCTCTGGCTCTCTCTCATCACCGTCACTGCGGTTCTGATCAGCAAGGTTGTTGAGCTCTTCAGATTGTGGTCGAAGGCGAAGCAGCTCCCCGGCCCTCCTTGCCCGTCTTTCTACGGCCACTCCAAGGTCATTTCGCGCCAGAATCTCACCGGTGAGTTGTTGATTTGATGTGATCTGTGCGTTTTCTCTCTTCTTTCGCTTAGCTATTGAGTATGTGGTTTTAATGGCGAGACAGGAGAGTAGAAGGAGGAGGATTTAGGAAGTTGAGTTTTGCTTGCTTTGTTTAGGCTACTCCAATTTGTTTGGATTCAACAAAATTGAGTCTGATTTCCAATTCAGCTGTAATTGGATGCGATTGATGATCAACGACTCATGTGTTGGAAGCAACTGGACTGTTTTGTCATTATTTACTAATTTTTTATGAGAAATAAGTTCCAATTGATGAGATAGAATTCACAAATGCTCCCATGGAACATAAAAAAATAGCACGTTTCAATTCTTAGTAGCTCGCACCACTTTAAACCAAAGAACACTCTATTTGCTTTTTAACGGAGTCCCGATAAGGAGAGAGAGTAAACCATGACAGCTTGACCTTGGAGTGGTTTTAATCAAATATCCGAAATAACTTCGGAAAAGTTTTGCCTAGTGGAATCACAATGAAGGAATAGAGATCAGTTGGTTTACTCCTAGACATACAAAGGCGGCTCCAATTTGGTTGCGGAGCGATGGTTGGGTAGCTACTTTGGAACGCTTTTACTTTCTATGGAAACTTTGATTTCCAGATCGCTTCAATCAAAGATTTTGGGTGATCACCATCCCCCCGTACAAACTTATAAGGAATGATTTACTAGAGAATCCACCAGATGAATTTTTACAGTAGCACCTCCTATCCTGTCTATTTGAGATGTAAACATTGGTGAAGGAATCCATGGGGCCAAGTCAGTCTTCCACTTCGTGATCATACAAATTTATATAAAAATAAAAAGTTCTAGGGTCTTGCCTGCCACTCCTGCATGAATTGTTTGCCTTGAGATTTTTTGTCCTCGTTCTTTCATTGATGGGGACGAAGAAAGATAAATGATTGAAAGGACGATTAGTGAGGATCATAACCTCCTTTTAATTGCTTACATCGGTTATTAAGTTTTGTTTATTTCTACTTGGCCCCTCATAAATTAAATATATATATATACCGAAAGGGTATCTATGCATATTTTTCATACTCCATAGTTATACGAATTTTTTTTTTTGGTAAAAGAAATAATTTCATTGATGTATGAAATTACCAAAAGCCAAAGTTGGGATTACAAGAAGCACTTCCAATTAACTAGAAGGGAAGAGTAGCTATAGTGATGAAACAAAGGAGAACATTTACACCAACATCGTAAACTATAGCATCAAAAAGCCTCTCAAAAGGTTGACGTTTGTTGTTGAAAGTTCTTTGGTTTCGTTCACCCCATATGATCCAAAGAAAAGCTCGAATAAAGGTCAACCAAAGCTGTTTCTTTTGTTTTTTAAATGGATGTCCAGCTAAGGTGAACTATAAAAGAGAGGGAGGATGATTTAGTAAAGCTGTGGACCATCCAAAAGTGTTTTGTAGGAAATTCCAAAAAGCCGAAGCAAAGGTGCAAGAGACAAAAAGTTGTTGCTGTGTTTCTGGGCTGGATCGACAAATAGAGCACCACTGGTGAAATAGCCATATATGGCAACCGGCGTTGAAGCTTTTCGTTGGTGTTGATGGCATGGTGACTAAGCTCCCAAAGAAAAAAAAATTCACGTTTAATGGGTATTTGTCCTGCCAGATTGCTTTGGAAAGCCATTGAGAAGTGCCCGGGAAGGAGGACAAAAGGTCTTTAATCAGAGACCTTGTGGAGAAAAAACCAGAAGGCTCCATTTTCCAAAACAATAAGTCTGCTCCCATACCTAGTTGAACATCTGTTAGCTGGAAAGAGAGAGTAGTCCATTCAGCAATTTCATTGTCCTTTAGATCACTGTATTTTGCTTAATTAACATTTGTTGTTCACTTGTGTGGCTCCAAATGTTGATTTTTTCCTACAAATACCCGATGTTAACATCATATTGTTTGATAAATATATTATTTGATATACAATTTATCTTGATAAAAGATTGTATATTGACTTACCCTACCTTCATTTGTTTACTGCAGCTCATGTATTTTTTTCTTCAATTATTACTGGATAATATTATCACAACTCTGCACCATATCGAGCAAATAATATTGATTGTTTTCATTGTTTATGATCAAATTGAATTAAATGTTTAAAGTTTAGAATAAGAACTGTTTTATTGGATATTTCTGTCGCTCATATGCATTTGTTTATTAATCCTTTCTAGCACTTTGTGTGCTAAACTCTTTTGTCCTGCAGATTTGTTATATGAATCTCATAAAAAATATGGACCAGTTGTCAAGCTATGGTTGGGTCCCATGCAGCTTTTAGTGTCTGTAAAGGAGCCAGCGCTTCTCAAAGAAATTCTGGTGAAGGCCGAGGATAAATTGCCTTTGACAGGGCGGGCATTCAGGCTAGCATTTGGGCGTTCCAGTCTCTTTGCTTCCTCTTTTGAGAAGGTACAAGTTATTGTATTTTTCCCTCGTATTTTATTCGCACAAGGCCACAAATGTGATGGTATATAACTGAGAGATTTTTGTGGGAGCAGAAAAAGGTGGTAGCTCTCATTTAATCATTTCATGAGTAGGAAACATTAGTATAGATTGAGTCACTAAGTCGTTTTAGCTGAATAAGAATTTTATTCGTTATTTCATTTTGTTCTTGATGTTTGGAGTATGAATTGCAAACCCATTAATGGTACTCTGTAGTAATGTTTTCTTTGGGTTTTTATTTCTGTAATTGGAGTCCTAGCTACATTTCCTGTCAGAGGAAGCTGCTCTAGGCAGCGATGTTAAGCGAGGCCTTTAACATATTATATTGAATGAACTTGATTTCTAGCCTTTTTTATCATGTAATTGTCCTGTAGTAATATTAATTATACCGACTATAATTGCCTTATGCTAAATTAGTGTTTGATTATCTTATTCTGTCACAATCACAAGTACAGGTGCAAAACAGAAGACAGTGGTTAGCAGAAAAGTTAAATGAAATATCATTTCAGAGAGCTAATGGGATTCCTTCGAAGGCTGTGGATTGTTGCATGGGGAGGGTAGAAGATCTTATGATTGAAGAAAGTGTAGATTGTAATAAGGTCTCTCAACATTTGGCTTTTACATTGTTAGGATGCACACTTTTTGGGGATGCCTTTTCGGGTTGGTCTAAGGCAACCATCTATGAGGAACTTCTGATGATGATTGCTAAAGATGCCAGTTTTTGGGCCTCCTACAGAGTTACTCCTATTTGGAAACAAGGATTCTGGCGGTACCAGCGCTTGTGCATGAAGTTGAAATGCTTAACACAAGATATTGTTCAACAATATAGAAAACATTACAAGCTCTTCTCTCACTCCCAGAATCGGAACCTTCATAATGAAACCAAAAATACTGGTGCGGAGGTTGCATTTGATATTCCACCACCCTGTCCTGCTGCCGAGATGCGCAGTAATTGTTTCTTGTATGGTCTTAATGATCATGTTAATCCTAATGAGGAACCATGTGGAAATATTATGGGTGTGATGTTTCATGGATGCCTAACTACTGCAAGTCTGATTGCTTCCATTTTGGAATGGCTTGCCACAAATCCTGAAATACAGGAAAAGGTAATTGTCTTGTTTTTTTTTCCTCCTCTCTCTTTAACTTTCGTTTTTTTAATTAGCAACCAATTTTATTAAGAAGAATGAAAGATTCCAACACTAGGTTATACTAAAAAGTGACTAGTGAGGCATAAAATTTACAAGAAAAGCCTCCAATCATTAAGAATTAAAAACAATGACAAGCTTGAGAAACATTCAAAATAAAAGAACTGAAAGGAGGCACTGAAGTGAGTGACACCCCAAATTTCTTTGTAAAATCCCTCAACACCCAAATAAAAAAACTTATTTGGGCGGGGGGAGGGGGGGTGGGGGGGTGTTGATTATTTAGGATAGCACGAAAATCTTGATGATGGAAGGTAGGGAAGCCAACACCTGCACTTTCCTATCAGATGAGGCTTTCCTAAAGTGAAAACCAATGGAGTCAAGCCACCCAATCAGTAGAGATTGTGGAGATAGGGGAGGAGAGACTTAAATTGGATCCTCCCACACTGGTTGAAATACTTATGCAAGAAATACATTAATAATAATAAATAAATAATTTTCCATAGGTTTCTGAAAATGTCCTTACCTACCAGATTAGAATGCCACTCACTAAATTGTTGTCCAAATTTACTCACATTAATCATGTGTCATAATACATGGGGTTTTAAAGGAAAGTGTCACAACTATTTGGTTAATAAAGAAATATTCTTAAAAGCTTACAGGGTGTGGACCATCACTCTTTCCAATTCCTTCCCCGTAAGAATCTAGGGATGGTTGACCGAAATATTATTCCCTTCAATGCTGAAACCTTCCATAAAGTCCAGTAATTTGTCTTATGAATGCTGCTTGATATTGTGAAATTGAACTATCAATTTAATTATGAATCCTTTTTTGCATCTAATGGACTGAATATTTGGTATTCTAAAGAGTTGCAATATGTTATATTTATACAGATTAGCTCAGAACTAAATACAAAGGGCCCAGTGAAAGATCACCAGAAAAATGTTGATAACATGCCACTTCTGTTGGCAACTATATATGAGTCTGCCCGTCTTCTGCCAGCAGGGCCTCTGTTACAAAGATGTTCACTGAAACAAGGTATACCACGTCTTAATTATAGCTGGGTGGGTATTGAATACAGTTGGAAAGTTTACAGCTTCTTTATTTAAAGTAAAACCACATTGGTTCTCATCGGTCTTTCAATTAGGTGCTAAGGAAAGGGCGATAGCCAGACTCATGCTTTTTAATAGTCACAGTGCTTGTGACCTATAAAACTTTAATGATTATTTAGCTAGAAAAGAAGGAAAAAAAGGTAAAAGAACAGTTGATTTCCTCTCCATGCCTCAATCAAAATCCACGATGACTGCAATCTAAAATCGTGGGCTACGTCTGTACTTTTTATCTTTTTATGTATGCAGTTCCCTCTTACCACTAGATGCTTAATATTTGTTTTATTTTATACTACTTGATATGGCTCCAAACCACGAAACATATGGTGGTGTTCTTTCCAATGTATCCTCCCTAGATATTTTGGCACCCAATCATATTAGATTACCTTTGAGATATTGAGCTGCACGTATATGTACAATAGTAACACACTGAGCTGCTGAGTTGTAAAAGTTCCATTTTGTTTCGTTTAAATAAATTTCTTGGTAGGACTTACCAAAACATTTATAAATATCGACATGCTTAGCTAATATAAGGATGGTGGGTATGGACCTAACGTATGCTTATGGGCTATGAGTTCAAGTTTAGCTGCCACATACTTATAATTTCACATTCTAACAGTTTTTATTTTATTTTTTTTACTCTTAACGTTACTTTGTTAAATTGGTTGAGCTACATATAAACTACGCTAATCTCCTGCATATATATGGTTTCGTTTTAAATATGCTTCTTTTATATGTCACATCTTGCTTTTCATCCAAAGGAAACTGCCCCGTGATAAAGAGTAGGTACTACTTCGGAATAGTCAGAGATATCATCACAGTTAGGCAATTTCTAACCATGAGTGTCATGGTCAGGAACAAAGCATATATAACTTAAAAGACTCGGCACTTGCAATAAAAGATTTATCAGATAGTTAAATGCTTGGAAATTGTGATAGTCAATTATATGGCTGTGTTGTGGGTGCTTTTTAGCTTCGCGGGGTCCATAAAGCTCATGTCTCTCTAGCATACTGTTAAATCCTGTGAATGATTTTTGGCTTTATTGTCATATATCTACCAAGCATTGTACATTACTCCCGACCTTCATTGCTTTTTGCTGCATGTTTAGTCACCCTTTCTTTTTCTGCTGCTTCCAGATTTGGTCCTAAAGACTGGTACAACTATACCAGCTGGAACATTAGTCGTTGTACCCATACAATTGGTACAGATGGATGATTCAAGCTGGGGAAGTGATGCCAATAAGTTCAATCCCTACCGGTTTTTATCAACGGCTTGTAATGGGACTGATATGACTCAGCAACCAACACTTGCAGGTATGCTATTTCATGCTTAAATATTTATTCTACCATAATCACTATTTAACAACTCAATGTCCATTTTTGCTTGCTGCTTCCTTTGTCCTCTTCAAGGTGTGACACTCTTTCAGTCTCTGTCTTTTCATTTGAAAGAGGTCTACGTAATTTTATAGGTTATTGTTCCAAATTCCATTAAGATATCTTCAGCATCTACAAAATTCAACGTTGAGGTAGAATTATTGGACAGTTGGGTGGGAAAATTTTGGGAATTGGCTGTATTTTGATTTTTGAATATTAGGTTTGCTGGCACGAGTGACAGTGGACAGAACTTCATTTTTTGGACCTCTGTATGACTAAGGATTCAGTCATTTTCTACTCTTTCCTTGTTTCCCCACTCTCTCTCTCAACAGTTTTTTTTTAATAAGAAACAAAATATGTGTATTCAAATCAAGAAGGCCCCTAAAGGGGATACAAACAAAAGGCGGAGGGTAGAGCTAGCCTTCCCAAAGCTCTATACAATCACCGCTTTCCAATTTTGAGTAAGCAAAAGAAGATTGTAGTTACAAAAAACTTTCTTGTGTAGTAAAACCCACCAAGAAGCTAGATGCTTAATATTCACACAAAAAGAATCTAACAAAATCAACTTATCTTCAAAAAGCCGACTATTCCGTTCCTTCCATATCGACCATAAAAGAGCCTTGGCCGCACAATTCCAAAGAACCCAAGCTTTGCCCTTGAGCTACCTTCCTCCGTAACCTTCAGTAATGAAATCCTCAATTCTTCTAGGAATATAGAGAGAGAAATCTAGCAAAGAAGCTACAAAACCCCAAACTTTGGAAACAAAAGGGCAATGGAGAAAAAGGTGGTCCACTGTTTCATTGTTGCTCATACACATTGTGCACATAGAGGGAGAAAAAGTCCAATGAGGTAATTTCCTTTGAAGTTTCTCTGCGGTATTTACCCCTATATAGAACAAAGTCCAAATGAAGAATTTTACCTTCTTTAGGACTCTAAAATTCCATATCAAGCTTGCAATAGCTGAATTAAGTTTAGGAGAAGGGGACGTGAGAGCCATGAAGGCTGAATTGACTGTGAAATGGTCGGATGGGTCCGCTTTCCACCATAAAATGTCCCTTCCATTTTCGATAGCTGCACCTTCTATTTTTCCAGTGAAGTTTGCCCATCTACTCATTTCCCTTTCAAAGAGATTCCTTCTGAAACCAAGATTCCAGGTTGAGGTCTCTGCACACCAACAATCCGCAATGGACATACCTTTCTTGGAGGATAATGCAAACAAATTCGGGAAAGTGGTGGAAAGAGGGGCAGAATCAATCCATGGGTCCTCCCAAAATCTGACTTGGACCCCGAGGATATTTTGAAGAATGAGAACTTTTGAAGAGCTCCAAGGTTCCTTTGTATGTCCCTCCACGGTCTACCGATAGAAGAACCACCCAAAGGTTTTGTCCACCAACCAAAAGACTCCACACCATAAATAATGGCTATCACCCGTCTCCAAAGGCTATCTCTTTCCACTGTGAACCGCCATAACCATTTCATTAATAGAGCATTGTTCCTTAGCCTCAAAGAACCAATTCCAAGGCCCCCCTGTTTATGAGGCAAAGCCGACCAAGACCACTTCACCAAATTCCCCACCGATCTAGAAATCCCACTGTTCTATATGAAGTCCCCCATAAGCTTTTCCATAGACTTTATGACTGTTTGTGGAGCTTTGAGAATCGAAAAGAAGTATATGGGGATGCTATTGAGGATTGACTGAGCAAGAGTAAGCCTACCACACTTGGAAAGAAGCAAAGAACTCCATTTTTGGAGTCTTTTGTGCATTTTGTCCACCACTAGAGCCCAAAGACCAACTAGTGGTCTTGTGGTTCCCTCCAAGGGGGAAACCCAGATAATTAAAAGAGAAAGAATCCATCTTGCAGCCAAAAGAGGAAATCCAGAAGCTAACCTCTGTCCTGGTACAATTAACACCAATCACAGCAACCTCTGTCCTGGTACAATTAACACCAATCACAGCAGTTTTTGAGACATTCAGAGAAAGACCCAATGCCAATAAAAACACATGAATGAGACCCCACCAATTCTCCATTAATTGAGCTGAAAAGGGGCAGAAAATAAGCACATCGTCGGCATATTGGAGGTGAGTCACCTCTAAGGAACTATTTCCAATATTGGAACCTTTGAGAATATTCCTCTCATTACAAAAGTGAATTAATCTACAACGCATCACCCACAGTCATGAAGAGAAAAGGGGATAGGGGATCCCCTTGTCTTAAGCCTCTTTTGGCCTTTATCTTACCTCTAGGCTTTCCATTAAGCAACACAGAAAAGTTGGTAAAAGAAAGCTACCCCTAATCCACCTACGCCACCGAACCCCAAACACTTTCTCTCTCAACAGTGGAGGATTTGATTATGAGTCTTTTGTCTTCATCTTTTTGTTTATTGCTTTTGAGAATACATTTCTTCTTTTTCGTTTCTTTGAATTTTGGCCTACAAGTTCTATTGGGGTTGGGTTCCTTGTCCATTCAGATGCATTATTTTCCTCTTTATGTTTAATCATATAATGTCAGTTCTTTCTTTCTTTCTTAAGATAGAGGCATACAAAAAACTGCAATTTGAAAATTTATTAAGTTATGTGGTGTTGGCTCAATTTATATGTGATAAATGGTATGAACTTCGTGTTGGTGTGTATATTCTTTTTGTAACAATTGTTTTCTCACGCTGCAGGTGAAAATATTGGGGATCAAGGAGAGAGCTCATTTATTTTGAACGATCCGATTGGCAATGTTGGATTTCTTCCCTTTGGCTTTGGTACACGTGCCTGCGTTGGTCAGAAATTTATTATACAAGGAGTAGCAACATTATTCGCCTCTTTGCTCACACACTACGAGGTTTGTGGTTAGCTTTTCATGTCTGTTCTTTTATACACACACACACACACACACACACCGCCTTTCATAAATTAACAAGGTCATATTGACTAGCGATAACACTATAACAAGTTCAATCACTAGTTCCGAGAAATAGTAGATGCACTATTTTCTGGATACTTTTTCGATGACTTTATCGATGCTGTTATTTATCTTTCTAACTACTACCATACAGATAGTTGAAACATTTACATTTGAGAGAGATTAAATTTGATAATGAAACATTGTGACTTGTTCATATTTGTAGACTGTACCTGCACTTGCACCCAGCTATTTAACTTATTGCTGGATGCTGAGCCTACATAAATGAACTATATTGAACTGTAGTGAGTCCAATCATCCTGCACAACTTAGATACACAAAAATCGCAATTCCCAAGTTGACAATTCTACATGCTCCTTGTTTCTTAACAATAATTAAAAAAAAATAGATAGATTGAATTCCACAAACAAATTGGTGCTTCTGCTCGAATTAGATTATTAAAAGAAAAAAACAAGTGTTACTTCTCAACCTTGCTCTTGCCTTTTTTTTAGGGAACTCATGAACTCGTACTGTCTTCTAGTACTTTCTAGAATGTATTCAATGATTACACTCAACTTAGTCCTATAATTTAAGCTGTTATCCGGGTTGGTGATTTAGATTTAGTAGTGCTCTCTCCTGGACGGTCTTGTATTTGTCCAAATGAAGGAAGAAAAGAGGGAAGGAGAAACATAAAATTGAATAATACTAAAATAAATGCCTCAATTCTTGACTAATAATAAATGTCATTTTCAGCAGTCATTGAACGATCTGATTGACTATTTCTTCTTCTTTCCTTACGCATTGTAGATAAAACTGCAGTCAGAATCCAAGAATGAGTCGAAGTCATCAACGAACCTGTCCGCATCTCGAATTCTTCCCAATCCGAAGATAGTTTTCGTAGGTAGGAACAGCTGAAGAACAAGTAGCCAAAAGCTCACTCCTCCATAGGAAGGTTGTATCTAATCCAGGTCCATCTCAATTACTACATTTAATCTGAACTGAAATAGTTTTTATGGGGAAGTTCTGCATCTTTTTCCCCCGTGACTCACTGGCTGTCACAAATGGGAGGTTGAGACACATGCTTTTTCCCTCCCTATGTTCATATCATATAGTAGCTCGATCGAGTGCCGCTTTTTTCGCTATTTTATCACTTGTTTTTGAAGCACTCGTGTTCCGGTATTAGGCGGGGCCTCGTACTTCCCCATCTTTAGATTCTCAAATGCGTCTAGAAGTGTCTAAGAGTAACTCAAGTTTCCTCTTTTTTTCTCTCCATAGAGGGAGGGTTTCTTGTGTACTGTGCTTTATACTGAATATTGCTGAACTCAATGCACCATCTGAGTTGCATATGTCTCCAATATCATCCACTAAATAAAGACTCTGTTTCTGTTTTTGTTCTTATGTTTCCTACATTATTTGACACTTGATATTGAGGTGGAATACTATTGAAATATACGTATAGTGGATTGAGGGAATGAGCACATGTCAAGGATCCCATATCGAGAAGGTAAAGGACCTTACAGAGGTTTATATCATAAGTAGGTTACTCCTCTCAATTCCAATTGATTTTGAGATGGAATCCTATTGATTATTGCACCAGGAAAGGTAGTTTAGAGATATTTAAATTGCATTTTTTTTTCTTTTTCATGATAGAAAATAGGCTCTCAAATAATTGGAGGAGACTAGAATAATGTGGTTGGTATTTGTACCGAACAGTTATTAAGGATCACACAAATTTTGAATATATATCCGTGGTTATTAAGAGGTGGTCTTGTTGAGGCACAACGCGAATCTATGAATAGAAGATATATGTGTGCATCTGATCAGTTGCACATTTTGTGATGAGCATACATCCACAAAATTTCAACTTTTTTGGTGGAAATATGTATCTTAATCGATTGATTCATATTCTATTTATCATGATATTGAAAAATAGTTTTAGATATCCTGAGTTTAAATTTTTAGATTGCGGACCTTTGTGATAACAGGCATTAAATTTTTTATTTTTTTTTAATTTTCGACCTTTTGACAGCAGACATTAAAACAAATGTAGGGTTTAAAAGATGATTTTGCTAAAGATAAATAATTTATTATATTTTCTTTTAATGAAAATTTCGTATTATCATTTTAATAAAAGAAGTGGTAATTTCACAACCCTATATCTTATATTTCGTAAATCGTTATTATTTTACTAGGCACTAAAGAAGTGAATTTTACTAATGAACTGAGTTGAATTTTGAGTGACGTGTCATGCATTTAAAATATTTGTATAGTGATAGCACCAATTTCTTTTCAAACATAAGAAACTATTTGTGAACTTTTAATACGTCAAAGATAAAATTGAAAATTTTAAAAGAGTTTGAAATTTATTTAAGCAATTTAACCTAACACATTTGGTTCATGTATTTAAGTAATGATTTTGTATATTTATGTACTATTAAATTATTAGTTCCAAAAGTGTAATTATTTAATCTTTGTAGTTCAAATTAGGATTTAATTCTTATTGTAATTTTTTTTGTTAGGTTTGTTATATATGTAGATCAATAAAACGGATAAATGTATTTATAAAATACAAATAATAATTTCTTATATGATGAAAACTAATATTTAGTTTTGATAATATTTTTACGGTAGAGACTAAGTCATTATAAATTTTAAGGGATGGTTAGAAATATGGAAAAAATAGTAATCAATTTAGTTTTTTCAAATATAGCACTTTATTTTTTAAAAAAAAAACGGAGGTTCAATTTTAAAATGACAAGTTTACCCAAATTATATATACTTATAATATATCTATAATATACCTGTAATATATCCGACTACTGATATATCTATGTAATATACATCTGATATGCTAGTGATGAGTGTTTGATATATTTATAATATGTATGTGATATACATATGATATATTACTGATATTAGTGTCTTTGCAATATTTATATGAGATACATTTAATATACTAATATACTACTGATATGTGTATTTGATATATTATTGATATAAATGAAAATTTTTTGCTAGATTTATAAATTTTAAAAATAGGTAATATATTTTAGAAATACATCGAAGATTTTTTGTTATCAACGATAATTTTTCAAATTTTAAATTACAGAAATTTAATTGTTGCATACTAAATTATAAAATAGTTCACAAATTTAATTTGTGAACGGATTTAAATTAAAAAATGGGCGACTCAACCAATAACCGGTGGGATTTAAATTTGAACTACAAGAAAACGGAAGATTTTTGTACTCGAAAAAAAAAGAAAAGAAAAAAAGATTTAAATGCTTAGCTACGAAGCAACGCTTCGTGGCGCAGTTGCTTGTTTGGCACGAATCCAGATTCTTACATTCGTGGCGCGAAGAGAGAGAGAGAGAGAGAGAGAGAGAGAGGGTTTCAATTAGGATAATCTACCGTTACAGCGAAGGAATTTCACAAAATCGAAAAAAAATGAGGCGATCGTGATCTCTGTTATGAGAAAGGACTCTTCGATTTTGTTTTCTTCATCTACGCTGTTGCTGCTGTTGCTCTATTGGATCGTACTCGGAGGAAACGCATCAGCTCACTTTTGTAGGCAAGAAGACGATCCACTGCTGATGGCGTCCACACTTGGAGGCGTGCACGATTCTCAGGGAGCTTCCAATTCCGCCGGTGTCGAAGAACTCGCTCGTTTCGCCGTCGACGAACACAACAAGAAAGAGGTAAAGATGTTCTCTCTCTGTAGCTTCTATTTGCTTCGTTCTCGGTTCGAGTGGTTCTTTTGTCGGTTCGGTGTGTTTCTTTCTCGAATTTCATCGATTCTCGTTGATGCGTCTGTGCCGTCAGTGCCTGATCTTTCTCTAGTTCTAGTTGTGCTGTGTTATGGACATCTGTGTGTTAGGCGTCATTTACTTCGCAATGGCGGATCTTGTGTTAACGTGCTCTGCCTTCTGATGCGATCGGTTTCTTTCGGAGTTGATAATTAGTATCACGACGTGGTCTACCAGAGCTGCGCGGTCTTCCTCTTGTTTCGTTTGTTTGGTAGAATTGATTATGGTTATATTCTTATTTTTTTTAGATTCTGGATTGCGTTTTTAGGTTGGAGCTGGGGATATGTGTAATGTCTCTTTAGCTTGAAAAAGTTAATAGATCTTTATGGCTATAATTAATTAGAATCCACATTCAATTTTTCAAAAATCTGCTACACCAGTAGACTTGCCGTAAGATGATGACTGTAACGTGATTGCAAGGCCTTATGCCGACCTTCTCTATAATATCTTTTTTAGGCTGATGGAAACTAGGTCAGCGAATGGTCCCTCCGTTTTGGTTATAATTCGTGGAATTCTGGTGACTTCGAGCTTTCAGTTTACCTTCTAGTCACTTTTAGTTACTTAAACACATCTGGATGCCTTCACCAGAAATTGATGTTTCTTCATTTCTCACATGGAATCACGTCCCAAGTATTTGTACATTAATTTTATTTCAGTTTAAAGAGTCCTCTTTCTATCGTGTCCCAAGTATTTGTATATTGATTTTATCAGTATTCAGGAGAAATTTTATTTCAGTTTAATGGGTTCTTTTTCCACAGCTAACTAAGAAGTTTTTCTTTTGACAAGCATCTGTAATGGATTCAAAGCATTGGAAATTGGGTGTACAGAAGCATAGGAGTGTAGTTGTTTGCAATTTAAAATTCCTCTTGTTCCTTTTTTCTGTTTTCATGCAACTGTAATAACACCCGTATACTGGTCACTTGTGTTATACATGTCTATAATGTAAGTATCATCCTACTCCTTTGCAGAATGCACTTATTGAGTTTGTGAGAGTGGCGAAGGCGCAAGAGCAGGTAGTAGCTGGCACACTGCACCATCTCACTCTTGAGGCTGTTGACGCTGGTAAAAAGAAGCTGTATGAAGCTAAGGTTTGGGTGAAGCCATGGATGAACTTTAAAGAACTGCAAGAGTTCAAGCATGCAGGCGATGTCCCTGCATTTACTCCTTCTGATCTTGGTGCAAAGAAAGGTGGCTGACATTCTTTAACTCATTAATACTGTTTCTTTAAGTTTAACTTCAAATATACAACCAATGTCTGGTATGTATAGAAGTCGTGCACTTGATCTTTCTTTGCATGAGCAGTAATTTTTGGTTCAAGTCATTCATTACTTCTGCTTGTTGGCTGATCAAATATAAGGTTATGTTTTTTATCTTTTCTAATTTACTAAAGGTAAAAATTCTTGCACGTGATCCCAGATCCTTGCATATGAATAAACTTGCATTTGGATTGTAGTGCCTATTTAGTGAGCTCCTTTCCTATATCTCATCTATGTAATTGTGGTGAATCGGTGATGGTAGCTCTATTGCAAAATCATAATCCATCGTTAGCATTAGTATTTCTCACAAGCTTATTAGCGCTGTATGTTTGCAACTTTGCGTTATATTCATATAGACGATAAAAGCTGTAATTTATTTGTCATTCTTGTAACTGGTTTGACAGAAAATCAGTGTTATCTTTTCTATATTACTGACCATGGTTATAAATCAGGCGATCATCCGCAGGGATGGAGAGAAGTGCCCCCGCATGATCCTCAAGTTCAGGATGCAGCACATCATGCTGTTCAGACCATCCAGCAGAGATCTAATTCTCTATTCCCATATGAATTGCTGGAGATCATACATGCAAAGGCAGAGGTCAGTGCATTATGGTCCCTTTCATTTTCTGGATTACTTGCTTCTCTCTTGAAATTTCACATGATTGTGGAGTTATGTTTGTTCTTACTTTTCGCGTAACTGAAACTTATCATTTTTATTTTAGATTTTAGACTTGTGTATGATTGACCATAAAGTTACATTATCTGGTTAATTCGGTCCCCTGAAGGCATCAAGTTTGAATTTTCGTAGGACTCACTCAATTATTTACATTGCTTTCACCCATTTCCTTTAGAGCTTTTATGATTACATCATTTTGATTAGCTCAACTTTAAACGGACTGTCGATTCTATCAAACTAAATACTAGTGATACATTTTACCCGAGAAAAAGGTAGGTGTTTTGTTTGTTAACGTATTGTAAAATAGCCAAATTTCGAACTCCAAGATGTTGTTTATTCATTCCCCATGTGCACTTTATGACAAATTTCTGAACATTCTAAATATAATCGCTAATGGATTCTCACAACATTATGAAAACAGGTGGTTGAAGATTCTGCGAAGTTCGATTTGCACCTAAAGGTCATGAGAGGAAGTAAAGAAGAGAAGTTCAAGGTGAAGGTCCATAAGAACAATGAAGGTAACTTCCTTCTGAATCAGATGGTGGCAGATCAGTCTTAGGGGAGTTTGGAATGCGCAATAATAAAGATGAACAATATACAAGTTTTATGTAATGATAAAACATTTGGATTAGTTAAGCTGTAAACTATGCAAACGTGAACCTTGTCTTTTAAACTTAAATTGCTCCCACCCCTCGAGTCTGGGGATGCCTGTGCCATGAAAAATAGTGGAGCTACCCTGTTTGTTAAGTAATGGAACTCTGGTTTACTTTTTTACTCGGTTTGAAATTAGGGTTGACTAGTTTGTGGTTGAATTTGGTTATAATAGGAATTTGGGCTTGTGACTTGTGAAAATTGGAACGTAATATGAGAAGGCAAGGTTTTAACGGCCCTGTGTCAAGGGGAACAAAGAGAACCAAGGGCTTAAAAAGAGAAAAAAGGGTTTAAAGGGGATGGACTTTGTAAATAACAAAGGGAATGTAGTTTAAGGGAATGTAGTTTAAATCAGGGTGGGTGATGTGGGTGATCTAACAAAGGGCTTAAAGGGAACGAGTTTAAATCGGGTGGGTGATCTATTTAGAATTTAATATCTTGTAGTAGGATTAGGTTCCATGAAATATCTTGTAGTAGGATCAGGTTCCATGATTAGTCGTGGTGCGTGCAAGTTAGTTTAGACACAATTTGTGATAAGTCAAGGAGTGTGTAAGTCAGGTTGGATACCGTGATTATAGACACTATTTGTGATTAGTCAAGGAGTGTGTAAGTCAGTTTGGATACCGTGATTAGTCGAGGTGTGTACAAACTATTTAGAATTTAATATCTTGTAGTAGGGTCATGTAGTTCCGTGATTAGTCGTGGTGCGTGCAAATTAGGTTGGACATGCTAGTTTGGATACATGCAAGGTTTTGATCCCTGATTAGTCGAGGTACGCCGCTGGTAAGACACGAAAAATAGAATGCAAGGTTTTACGGAGCAAGTTTTCCTTGGTTTGGAAGGACTTCTGTGGTAGGGCTTGTAGTTTCCACTTTATCCATAGCTTGAAATAATAAAAGTTCTCTTTTGGTTATTTGTGTTTTTTTTCCTTTCTAAATAACCGTTTCGTTTTCATTATAATTTTGACCACAATTTCTTAAGAATGTTCCAACCTTTCTTACAAACACTAAGCCAAAATTTCGAACAAACAAAGATTTTTGAAAAGAACCAAATATTACCTGTTGGGTTTCACTAATTTAAAATATTTGTGAAGGATATAATATCGCAGCTTTAATATTTTAGTACTCCTTTATATGGCTATTAAAGCATGAATAAGCATATAGTTTTGGTTGGATAAAATTCTAATAAAAAAAAGTTCGACTCAATTTAATCATCTTAATTGAAAAAGAAAAGCTGAAACTTGCCTTTCTCGTGATTACAATCTGAGAATCTGAGAAAAAGAGTTTAGTGTTCAAGTTGTTTCAACGATGGATTATGGAGTGTAACTAAGCATTGTTGGTATCCCAACTAAAATACTATAATCTGAAGTAAATTAATTAGGGTTTGACATGGATATAACATCTCAGAAAAAAAAAAAGAAAAAAAAAAGAACAGAAAAAGAAAAAAGGAAAAAAAAGGTACAACCTAGCCTTACCCCAAAGGTTAACACTCTTCACATGGATTACATAATGAACAAGCTATTACTTTCCAACAGCTACAAACCTAATGTTAGATCGATAAACGATTATACTTAGAACATTTATAAAAAAAAAGCGATTTTCAGATGAACAAACTACATAGGGGGCATTACAATCTGTGATGATTCTTCTTATTTTCTTTGTCTACTTTAAAACTGTGACCTCTTTCGTTCCTTCATTCCTTTCTATGTAGTTTGTTTCAAGGAACAGACCTTCTCACAGTGACCAGCCGCCAGGTCACTCCTCTTCATCATAATCTTCCTCTTCTTCCTCCACCCTTGTGCTGCTCAGATGTGCATATTGGAGAGGGTCGATTGCCATTTTGTCCACGAACTCGTCCGCGGCTTTAGTCTCAGACTCGGTGATAGTAGGCCCGGCTGATTCGACGGGCGTGTCTGATACTGCTGCTGCTGCAACAACGGTCTTGGAGTCTCCGTTGGCGATGACGTCGGCATTGAGATCAAAACTTTGGACAGGTTGGTTGGCTTCGCCAACTTCTTTTGATGTTTCGCTCGGCTCGACGTGATGATCCATGTGCACATCTGGGTTGGGGTGGTTCTTGTTCCTGTTCTCTATAGACGAGCAAGGGTCGGCGTCAGGGTTAGTTTGGAAGTTGTCTCTTTCGGCTGACCGAGCAGGCCGTCCACGACCCCGTCCTCGTCCTCTTCCTCTTCCTCTACCGCCGCTGCTGTGGCTCATGTCATGCTGGAGAAAAAAAGGGAAAAGAAATCATTATATCTATCCGGAAGCACTCTTAAGTGACATGCAACTACTAATTCTGAAGCCTTGGATTCTCTGTCAAAGAAAATGCAGTCTCTGGCAGGCTATTTAGTCACCATACATAATAGAGGAAAAAATAATTACCATCTTGCTCTTCTTCAACTCATCAAAATCATTGCCCTCATCACCAAGAGGTTTCCTGATCGGATAGATATTAAGCACGTTTAGTTATATACCAATTGTAACAAAATAGAAGTAGGAAAATTTTAATGTATTATACCTCCTCTTTCTATCATCAACAGCACCATCAGAATGACCATGACCATAATCCGGAACCCGACTAACGATATCCCTCAGAAAATCAAAAACACTATAGCTTTGTACACAGTGCTTTCTGTAATAAAGGTTCAGAAATAATGTTAAGAGAAATCAATATCCAAAAACACAACAACCAGATTTTGGGAAAGAAATGAGGAAGGGGGAACAAGGTACGTATATGGTACCAATTACTATACCACTATCAGATTTTTGGAAAGAAATGAGGAAGGGGGAACAGAGTATGTATATGATACCAGTTACCACCAATAATATTGTAGGGTCACCCAAGGAATTAATAAGTTAGATGCTAAAAGTAAATTCGAAGCAAAAATCTAAAACATAAGATAAACTGTAAATTTCCCGAGTTCAAATGCAAGGCTTTCACAAAACTTCATAAAATAAGTCGGTGAAAATGTTCTCTTACAGGTGCAATGAATTCATTGTCTTTGCTCCCCTTTGTAGAGTAATCTCATATGTACGATCACAGAGGTCTTGCAGGAATAGTTCCAATGCTTTAGCTGGTATTCATGTTCAAGAAACATTAGACAATCATAAATTTCTTATATGGAACATCCATGTCATTGCAGACTACTAAATATCTGTCACATTTACTTACAAACTAAAACGGGCACTGCCAATGCTATCTTTCCAACATCTTCATCTGCTTGCATTATCTTTTTAATTCGAGCCTGTCAAATTATATTATCCATTAGATAACAAGAAACAGAAAATCCAACCTGAGTTCAGGTTCAGTTTAAAGTATGTTCACTTGAGATGAATTATCCTTTCTAAGAGTTGAACTGAAGAAAGTGAGTCAAATTATCCAAAAAGTCGAGCTCTTAGAATATTTCCTATATGTTAAAATTTTGCAAATAACAAATATACAGCAACTCGAATCATCAAGTAAAAGCCAAAAGCCATAATATGCCTAGTTATGTATAGAAGGGGGATTCTCTTGATCCTCAACTACAACTGCCAGGAGAAGAAACAGCAAGAAAAATCTTTAGATCTTAATGATGAACATGACAATCTATATCGACCAACAGCAAGCATAGAATAAATTGCAAGTGTCAAAGTATAACATCCAGCTACCTATGGTAATGTCTGCACATCAGTCTAGATTCGCTACTAACAAAAGGCGAGGGAACCAACTATTAACTCATTTAGTTATTTCTGTATCAATTCATAGCATAATGTGCTACAATTCATCACATGGGCCCCAAAATATTGGGACCATGGATGGTAATATAATAGAAACTGATGAACACCCTTTGGAAGTGAATAAGTGTCCTCGCATTCTACATTGAGATTTTTTTTCCCCACCAAAAACCAAGCTTTGATTGAACAAAGTGAAATAATACAAAAAGATAGAAAAAACCACAGTCCAAGAAGGGTATGTTGCAGTGTTGTTGAGGCGCACCCGGGCGAGAGGCGAGGCGATTTCTCCCAGGTGCGAACGTGTAATAAGAGACCGTGAGAATATAGCGAACGTGTAAAAACAAAAAGCAGCCATCTAGGATACGCATGGCTTCAATATGCACAATTTATGTCACGAGATAAGTTCTAAGGATTGACAAAACAAATTGACAGACATCTAATAAGAGACCTAAGAATCCAAGTAAATTTGCGGATATACATCATTTATAATTTAAATGGAATGATGGAAGTTAGAAGAGTACAGAAAGAGGGAAAGAGGGAGAGACATCGGTCTGTGCCTTCTGTTTGTCCAATGAAGAAAGTATGGTACATCTTTTTTTCTGATGACCCTATGCAAGACAGTGCTGAAATTTTTTGCTAGAAGAATTTAATTTGGCATGGGTTTTTGGCAAGGAGATCGCAGATAACTTGAATCAGCTTCTTTTGGGCCTGTTTTGAATCCTAAAGCTTCTCTCCTGTGGCTTAATGAAGTAAAGGCATTAGTGTATGAGTGTCGAGTGTGGTATGAAAGGAATCTGAGGATTTTTGAAGAAAAGAGGCAGCCTCCTTCAGCACGCTTTGACCTTGTTAAATTCAAGGCCGCAGTGGAGTTCTTTATCTCCTTTATTTAAACATTATTCCCCTGGTTTGATCTATTCGAATTGGGGTGTTTTTTTTGCAACTTTCCGAGTTTTTAAATTTTATTTGTATTTCACTCTTTCGAGAGTTTGTATCTTTGAAGAATTTTGTTCCTTTCATTATTTCAATGAGAAGTTTGTTTCTTGTTAAAAAAACGTAAAGAGGGAGAGACAAGAAATAAACTCATTCAAAGCCCAAAGAAAATACAAAAAACTCCTCCAATTGGCACAATGTAATGTAATTACATAAGCAATTAGAGAGAGTGTAGAAGCACCAAGAAGCGCCCAACAATTTAATCCTCGCCTGAATTTCTTGTCCACGTTCAGCTTTCTCCTAAAAAATTCAGAATAGAAGGAATAAACATCCATTTGGACCAAATGCTTAAAGGTTTGAAACAGAAAACTGGTTCTTGGCATAGGACAACAAATCTACCGTACAGTAGAAAGGAAGTGCCAGAGTTTGCGTTAATTCTTGGGGTTTAGTATCTCGATAACATAATCACATCCTCTCCCTATGCCCTTTTGTCAAGTTGATTTTGGTCAGCTTTTTCTGAGCTCTTGGAGTTGTTTTTCCTCTTCCAAGGCTGTTCTGCTATGTTTGATGAGATTTTCATTCACTCTCTCTTTCATGCCATGGCATGTCTGGTCAGAGAGGAACAGAAGGCTATTTCGGAGAAGGAGAAATAGTGGGAGGATGGTTTGATGTTCACTTCCCTGCCTCACTTTGAGTTTCTTAATGTAACTAGTTACTAAGATTTTTCTCTCAATCACCATTAACAATTTATGTGCTTTTTTTAAATCTGTTTTTCTCTTTCTTTTCTGGTAGCCCCTTTCTATTGGCAAGACCATAGAAAAAAGAAAAGAAATTTACTCTACCTTTGCAAGCCTAATCACTAAGTATTACCCCAGGACAAAAAAGCCATAAATTCAAGTTTTAAAAGCACCACTGTGTCAAAACCAGCCAAAGACATGATGTAAATAAACTCATTTCACAAGGTTACACGGTAATGGATCCATATATTTAATAATATGAATAAAGCGGGACAAGTTGCAGATGAACAAAACTACAGAGTTAACTTAATTGACACAGACAAAGTAATGGAATACATGAAAAGGAAAATTCTCGTCATATCAGAAATACACCAAGAATTCATTTTATATCTGGAATTCGTCAAAACGTTGCACGATACCGACCAGATGATAATGAAAATAAGAAGCAGAGAAAATTAGAAAAAATAATGCACAAGTTATCGGACAAAATTGTACGCCACGATCTCTTCGCAATAGCAGAAATTAACAAACGAAACAATTAGCCCCTTCAATTCATTAGAAACCGAACAGGATTATCAAACCGATCGAAAGAAAACCACGAAAAAAAATGAATAACGAACTTACAGCAGGAAAGCGGGTATCGAGCTTCTTCCTCATGGCGTCAGATTCGAGACATTCAAAGGGATTAAAAAATATGAAAAATGAAGAAACAACAGCTGAAAAATTGCCAAAAACTTCAGCAAAATTCGATTGTCAATGCGATCAATGGACAATCAACACAGAAATCTACCGAAGCAATCTTCTCAGATCCAGGAGAATTTAGGGTTTTTATCATAAATAGCTCTACGATGAAGAAATTAGAAATCGAACCCAGAAATCTAAAAATTGCAAAAGTAGCTCAATTGTTTGTGACCGAAAAGACTAAAATACCCTAATTTGATGACCTGGAAAGGAAAACGCAACTCCTCTTCAAGACTGGGATTTTTATTGTTTAGATTTATTTTAACGGTTCAGATTTTCTGGTAATTAAATATAAATATAAATAAAAAAAATTTCTGTCTTTTTCCATTTTTTGAGTTCAATCATAAATGAGTTGGAACGCTCCAAATATAACAGCAGATTTTTTAAGGAAAAATATTGAATTTTAGTATTTTTATTTGTACTTTCTAACCTTTTTATTTTCAAGTCAAAATTGTTGATGTTACGGTAAATCAATTCAATTGGGTTGATTTAATAATAAATATTGGTGGCTAACTGAGCATAGTTCAATTGACTTAAGCACTTATTTTCGATTATAGATCTCGTGAGTTGAATCTCCATCTCACACGTTGTGATAAAAGATAATAATAATAAATATCGGTAAGTTTATTTTCCTAACATGTAAAACTCAAAAATAATTCATCCACTTATTTTGATTAGATTCTTTTTTAATTTTTAAATTCAATGAAAAAATTGTTGGCATTGACATTTTGTTTTTCTTGAATGGATCTCAATTCATCGCATAATGTTGATCTAACAAGCCACACAAGTAGTAGAAAAAAACGAATTTTAACCGAGCATTTTTCAAAGCTAATCAAATTGAGTCGACTTTGGAAAAAACTACATGCTGATCAAATTGAGTTGTTTCTGGTTGTTTGAGCTATACTTTATGTTGGTTCGATTAAAACATAGAACTACAAAATAATATTTGATTAGGTTCAGTTTTGAATAGGTTTAATTAGTTTAACCAATTTAGTTCCATTTTGGTAAGTTTGATGATCGGTTTGGTCACATAAATCAATTTTAAATTTGGTTTTGATCCAATGATTGAACTAAATCAACGTGCTTATACTTTTAATGCAACTATAATCCTTAAAAAAATCGACAAAGGATTATTTGAAACATTTTATTAACGAGGGGTGAAAGACAACTAAAGGGTAATATGAAAAGTGCTTAGGATGAACACTACACCGATGTTGAATTTGATTGATTGTAGGCATCTCACTAGGTGGGAGCGTCGTTGACGCGTCATATCTCACCACCTCTGCTCGACCAGATCTCAACATGAACAAGGTAGTATCATATCGTACTATCATTTATATTTAATATTATATCATAACCTTGGATGTCACATTACTTTTAATTATAAAATGTACAATTGTCACACTATGTTTTGGAGTCATAAACAAATGTAGGAACTGTCGTTCAAGTTGTGACCCTCCGATGCTAAGTCAGTATTTGGATCAAAGTCAAAAGAGTAAGAGATCAATATGAGTGTTAAATGTCAGGAATTAGCTTATCTCTTGAAGAGTTCTCATTCCCTTCAAATAACGGGAAAGCACTTGATATCGTATCTTCCCAAATTTCAGCTATACCATCAACCATAGTGTAAATTGGGATTCTAGTAGGTCGTGCGGGCGTAAAATCATTTCCTTATTGCTACCGTGTCGTTTAGTCCTACATCCTTTTCCCGAGGTCCTGACCTTCAACAATCATGCCTACAGGACCGCTTGGTCTGGGCTTTTTTCCTCGAGTTTCGCTTCCTATTGGCCTTGATCCATTGGCTTCTGGTTGTTTCTTTCGTAATTTCTTTTAAACCAACTTCTCTCGTGATGCCTCACTATCTCTTTCATGTCCTTTCTTTCTCAAATTTCTTCATCTAAACTATCTCTTTCTACATCGAGCATGTATAACGATCCCTTATTATTTTCTTCAACTCGAGATCATGGAAGGGAATGGAAGAGGAAGAAGTTTCCGTTGATGGAGATTAAAAATGACACTTTAGATATGAGGTATAAATAGTAAACATAATGTTACATCATATTATCAATAACACAAAATAATCCGTCGATAAAAAATAAAACTTCATATACCACAAAGATTCGAAAACACTAAAGACTAAAATTATTTCTGAAGAAAATTGACAAAAATTTATACATCAAAACCACATTACAACTTTTTGAAAGAAAGAGAAATGCTAATTGTGTATTAAATAAGATCTTCAAAGTTGATAGATCCCATCTCATATTGAATTAAAAAAAAAAAAGAAGAAGAAGGAGAAGAAAGAAAGAATTTTTTTTAATTATTTTCCATTAAAAAGCATATAATAAAACAAAATTTAAAGAATAACTTCCAAAGAGGCTCGAATTTCTAAGATGATCCACGGGGCCAGATTTCAAGTATTCTAAAATTAAGTGTTATTATTCCGAAATTAAAGGGAAAGGAAACGGAAAAAACAAAAAAGTAAAAGGATTAGTACTTTGTAAATTGCTATATGCTAAAGTTATGATGATGGCTATGGTTTTTCAATCGGATATCGAATATCCGTTTCCAGAAATTTAAAGAAAAAATAAAAAAGAATCATAAATCAAAAATCAAAAATCAAAAAGGAAAAAGGAAAACGATGTCGTATGATTTGGTAATCGTGCAGATGAATGGTTCCCAAGTCAGTGTCCTTGAAACTTATGAATGCCTCACACGTTTGGTTGTTGTTCTTGTTTGTTTATTATTTACTTTAAATTAATTTTTAATTTATTGTTTGTTTTATATATTTAAAATTATTTTATTTTTTGTCGTGCATTATATTTTGTTTTTTGTTTCTTTTTTTTTTGTCTTCTTAACTTTGAATATTTTTGTTTTATTATTTTTCTAGTCTTTTGAACTTTGCATAAATAGTGATGGGTAGATTCGAGAAAGAAAAAATCGAATTTGAACTCTTTGTTAAAATACATGAAGTTTATAGGTTAGTGACTTAGTGGAGTTGTAGTGTTGATTTAGAGAGAATTTGAAGGGCAGTGGCTTAGGTAGTGGGTTAGTGGTCGGTTATTTACTTTTTCTATAAATACTTGTATCGATTCTCAATTCAATAGAAGTTCTTCCTTTATACCATTTCTCTCTTGCTTCAACTTTGTTGTTCTTTTCGTTTTCGTTACAATTAATGCATAATACTGACCTAGCAGAATTATCAAAGTTGTAGCAATTGGATTTGATAGAACATGCAAAACATAAAAGAATCCATATTGGTGTGGTGTTAGATACAAATTTTGATGCTTAAGCTACATTCAAGTTTGTGTTGAGCTTAACAAAAATTAAGATTTTGTAACGTACTTTGATTATGAGATTTTTTCCTGTTTATTTATAAAAGGAAAAATATGATGAAATCTTCTATATATATATATTTTAATTCTTGAAATCTTAGACCTTCAAAAGAAGGGAGAGGAGATTAATTTTGAGAGCTCATCTAGTTATGTCTTGGGCACAAGGGACTTTGAGGCTTAGCCCTTGATCTCATAGGTTGGTTAGCCCTTTAGGACTATCCCACAGGCTGCTCGGTTGATGTGGTTCTGCCTCTCGAACTCATCATGGATCTACACTTACAAACTTCGCGTATTCCACTCAATAGCCAACGCTTCTCCCCAAACCCCCTCGGAGATCACGATGTGCAACCTGTGTACTAGATTCTCATGGCTCGACTTTTTATATTGTTTTTAAGTTTTAGCATTTGCTTAATTGGAGTTGTCTTACTTAACTTTTCTATAGTTTGTTCGTAGATCGATGCTTTATTTCACTCATAATATAGATGGTAGAGTACTTTTTTTCTTCGAAAAATGAGAAAATGTCTCTCTCTCGAAATTATTTCACCGTAGTTAACTTATCATACGAAGTAGGATCATGTATTAGTCTGCTCACACCTTCCTTTAAGGTCATATTTGAAAATAATTATATTTCATTCCAATTGTCCTTTGCTTTCTAAATTTGTCAAGGAATAGAGATTGATCTCCAATTTGTGGAACCCATGTTAAGATTTGAAAACCATTCCTATCAATTCATTAATTTCTTTGAGAAAGATAGAGAATTATATTCTCATTCTTTTATTTTAGTGGGTCTCTCACTACTTTTCAAGAATATAATATGAGGACCAACATTTCTAATTTTCGATATTACAAAGATTTATTATTAAATACACATAAAGAAAGTCGACCTTTGAAAACCCTAGATTATGAAGAAAGAGGATTATTCTTGTACTAAAAAAGAAAAAAAGAAAAAAGAGGATTATTTTTTATAATTATTTTCGGATATAGTTAGCTATCTTATTATTATTATTAATTTATCCTTTAGTTCGAAATTTTTGTGGGTCCTACATTAATTTAAAATTTAATCTCAAATTTTGTTAAATACAAAACTGGTGGAAATTCCAATCCAGATTGGGAAATTGAATCTCATATGGTAAATTTGATATTTTTTTTTTCTTTTTGCACTAAATATCGCACAAAGAACTCTAACTTATATTAACACCATAGACCATATTGGAAAAAAAGATCTCATTCATTGCTCTAGAAAAATTACCCTTTTCTTTTTTGTAGCTCGTTATTGGTAAAACAGTTTTTAATAAAGGTATCTATTTAAAAATTTTAGGTTAAAATACTTTTCCGTCTGTACTTTTAGTCTTGGTTAATTTTAGTTACCGTATATTGAAAATGTTCATTTTGGTCTATATACTTTTAACTTTGTTTATTTTGGTGTATATACTTTTACTTTTTAAAAATGGATCATTTTAACCCCCTCTTCGCAAGATTTTAACATAAACTTTTTACATAAGGAAAACTATTTAGTATAAAGTAATGTTTACATTTTAAAAAATATATTGATTGTAATGTGGTGTTGAAATTGTGATAGAAAAAATAAGATTTAAAATGAAATGAAAGGACCAAAACGGTCACTTTTAAAAAGTACACGAGATCACAATTAACATTTTCAAAGTACAGAGACTAAAATAAACCAAAAATTGAAGGTACATGTATTAAAATGAAAATTGTAAAAATATAAGGACTAAAATGAACTAAAACTGAAAATACGGGGACTAAACTAGTATTTTAACTAAAAT